ACAATGTATACATACACACATGTTTACCTACAACGACGTATGGAAATATCCAACCCTTCCACAACTGGGTGGTGGTGAAACGCCAGGGTTGCACAGGTTCCCCAGCGAACATGTTTCATTTGAACTTGACCCCATTTGACTCCTCGAGTTGCCTGCACTAAGCTCCAGGAATTGTGTCGCCTTCCAGCCAACTCAGTCGTCGTCGAGGCAAAATGTGCAGATTCAAATAGATTTGTCAAATAGATTCAAGACATTTGGATACTTTACTGGCACTTTTGGAACTGCAATGAACTGCTTCCCTACGCTTCGCAGGACGGTATACCACCAAAAAGACTTCCCACCGGCGAGCGACGGCTGCGGATCCGATACAAGGTGGGGTTGTGGCCGGAGCCTCGCTTAATTCGGCCATATGCGGGAACTCTCTCAGTATCTCTCTTCAACGACTTTGAAGCATGTGAATCTGCACTTTTTCTTGAAGGGAATGGACAGTGAAGGCATGTTCGGGAAAAAGTGTTCTGTTTCGTGTGCATGCTGTGTGTCTGCCTCAACGCACAGTATTACGGGAATTTCGGCAACTTTGTTCTGCAAGTTGTCTGAGGTAATCAGTTGTTTGCTTCTTTGCTTCTAGATCGTCCTATTGATGCCAGGCTGATGCAGTGAAGTCAGGAGAAGGGGACCTAATCGATGCAATGGAGCCTGAAGAGTATGTTATAGAGGTCGAAGCAGGCCAGTCGAATCAACTTCACGTCTGGCTGTCAGTTCATGGGTTCAATGTGGTGGTTTCTGGATCCTGTTGCTTCAAGACTCCTATTGCGCTTAGCCACTAGCCATAGGATACTTCGGAAGCGACTTTGGAACTGCTGCTACCTCTATTCGCATTTGCTCAAAGGGAGTGCGCCAAGCTTCGCAGCGGGCAATTTCAGAGTGAAGCAAACTGTTGCAAGCAATGCAAACAAAGCACTGAAGACTTCTTGACCTTGCAAAGTATCCCAGGTACTGAAGACCTTGAACTTTCGACCTGGGGTAGAGGGTGGCTCTGCTGGGATTGATGGCGAACAAGGAGCAAGCATGGGCTTCAAACTCAGTCCAAAGAGTCCCACCTGCGGTGCTCGGCCACCGGTGCACATCGGAAGATCTGCTTTCTGTGAGAATGAGGTTCCTACCTGGTCCTACCTACATATCCGATACATATCCTATCACAGTGCCAAAGAGCGTAAAGCGTAAAGACTCCAAACTTCAAAACCTAAAACCTAGTTCAATGTTTCTGCAGGTTGGACACCTCGAGATCGCACAATGCATGTTGTCCGGATCACCATCCGCAAGACTGGCTCAATACTCAGCAATTTTCAGAAAGCAACAGATTATATCATATTTTCATGGTCATTCTTGAATATCGCGGATGGTCTATGTGACTATTGAATTAAGTGAATCTTACTTACAGTATCCTAGAGTTTTCCTTCACGAAATGAAGCGAGGCATAAGTTTTCTAAGTTTTTGACCTTTTAGCTTTGGGCCACTTGGCCACTTGGCCCGCACTTTTGTTGAGGCTGGCACACGTTTGAGATTATCGATGGCAGTGATTCGGAGAAGACCTGGTCCAAGGATTTCAAGGTTCGGCGAATGTCGACATCAGATACATCAGACAAGATTGAAGAGACACATAGAGACACTTAGAGATACAACAGAAACAGACTTGCAACAGACTTGCAACAATAGCTTACCGATCTTAATCTTACCTCATCTGCTTTGATGTGTCTAGAGCGTCTTAGAGTTGTGAAGAGAATCCTGAAGGAAGTCAAAGCGAAGCTGAAACTAAAACACTTCAGAAAAAGAACGGATTCTGGCTATGCAGCTGAAAATGGCGGCTGATAATGATAGATACTGTAGACTGTAGGTCCAGTTCCACGGCCGACATTCTCAACATTCTTGAAGATTTCAAAGGACAACAAGTAAAGCTTGAATATTTTTCCTGGTTTGGCACGGTAGGAAAGTGGGTTCAAAGAAGATTATCAGGGGAAGCCAGTATTGAAAGAATTTGTCCTGGGAGGTGTAGATGGGGACTTTCCCAACGAAGCATTGCAGAAACTGCCAGGTGCTAGGATGGTTTGATGACTACAAAGGCCAGGCTGCTATGATTTTATTTCCTTTTATTTTGAGACAAGACATATAAGACCTGATTGATCAAGTCGGATCAAGTCGTACCAGGAATCTCTGGCATTTCAATCACCGATCCCGACAATGAAGAGCTGGAACTGGGCAAGGTTGGCCCATCCACTGAAGTCGCACACAGACAAAGCCACAAACTCGCACACACACACAAACTCGCACACCAACAAGACTCTGATGTTCTGTACCTTGTTTCATTTCAGTTGAAGAACCGTCCAACGCAGCGCAAGTTTGCTTTGTTTGCACTTCCAAAGTCTGTTGAGGAGCGTGAGTATCACAACAGCGGAACGCACAAGCTTCGTTTGCGGAGAATGGGAGAGGCCAGTGACAAAATGCAACGATCTGCAGGAAAGAAGCTGTGAGCATGGACGTTTGGAGTCTTGATCCTATGGGGAGGTTGGTTCTGTGTCTGACAGTCCGTTCTGTGTTCCATGGTGGTAGTCGTTTGATGGGTCTGGGAGTCTAGGTTTAGGTGTGGCCACCAAGTAACTCTGGGTCTGCTCGGGCCCTGGACACGTCTGCGCAGCCATCTCTGGGCGCATCTGGGTCTGGTATGGTCTGGTAGAGTTTATTTTGGACTTCTTCTCCATCTAGTTGACCTAGTTGGATTATTTTGTTGACTGGCGAATACATTTCTTTAGGTTTTAGATTCCGGGTTCGGTGCACCTGCCATGTTGGACTCAAAGTTTTTTTTTCCAGGTGCTGTTTATTCATAAGAGGTATACTACTGATGTAAAGTAGAGTTCTCTTGTGTGTGGAAAGTGTACCAAACACTGCGATAGCCCCCCCAAAAGAGACAACTATAATTTTGCATCATAATGTCCACATCTGAAGTTGCTTTACACAAAGTTGCGTACATGCAAGAGGCGAAATTAGCGATACTCCTAGCGATACCTCAGCAATACCCATGTTTTCAAGCAGCAGCCTCAGACCACAAATAGACCCTTTCCTCCTTTCCTTTCCTCTTACTCGTCTTCTTTCTCTCTCTTCCCTCTTTTTGTTCCTCTTTCTTTACTTTTTATTTCCTTTTTTCTTTCCTCTTTCTTTCTTTTTTTCCTTCCTATTTCTTTCCTTTTCCTTTCCCTTTCCTTTCCTCTTCCTTTCCCGGTCTGTTCCTTTTCCCTTCGTCTTCCTTTCCTCTTCCTTTCCTTTCCTTTCCTTTTCCTGTCCTCTTTTTTACAAAACCATGGGTAGCGTTTGGGCCGCCCCAAAAGCGATACCTTTTTTGGGAAGCTTAGCGAAGACACTGAATTTGACATCGGCGACAAGATTTCACAAGTCTGTATGCCCAAGAAGTCTAAGAAGTCCCGAAGTTCGTCTTCTTGATTGTAGCATTGTAGAGGCAACAGCAGATGTGGACGACAAGTTTGATCCCCGTGGTTGGGCCAGCGTCACAGCTCTGCAGGGCATCTCCCTGGGTGACGGTCAATTTGTCAATTGTTCTGAGTCGAATGCTTTTGCCTTTGGGAATATTTTGGAAACATCAAATGTAAAGGGAAGTGGGGGCCAGGGGTGCAGTTCAAATCAAAAAACCAGCATCTTCACACCAGGACTAAGCTGCCCAATCAGATGATTTTTATCCAGCTTTTGGACATCTTGTGTTGCAATAGCATCAAGGGTAGCTCTTGCATGAGGAAAACTCGCGAATTTACCGTTTTAGCTTCAGACGGGAAATCGGCAATTCTATCGCGCAACTGCCTTCGTCGAGGTGACAATCCGCAAAACTGATATGGAGTTGGTTGAGGACGGTTTGCGGCACCCTTCCTCTCAAATTGCAAGAGAATAGATGGAGACTGCTCGAACTGCCAGCTTCAAAGTGAATCTGAGGATGCGCATGGCCAGAAAGCAGTCAAAGGGCCACAGTTTGGCACTTGCAAATTGCTGTGTGAGTCCATTACTTCGCATCACTATGCTTTTTTTCCATCGTTTTCCAGATTTGCGAGTTTTACTTTCTCTCTTGAACAATCTTGAACATTTCCTGGCTCCAGCTCTCCAAGGTGCTTCCTAAGAGCAGGTTTGGCTGAGAGGTCCGTCACGAGCAACAGGTGCGCCTCAATGTAAATCGACTAGGACCAGGATAATTTCGTCATATTTCGTCAATGAAGAGGTGTCCATGTTCAACACAGCCAAATGCAGAGCAGCTGCCAAGAGCCCGCATTGTCACTCAGAAGCCGCACAAAAAATGCAGCTGGGCAGGTCAGGAGTGGCTTTTTTACAGCTTTTGTGCAGGTATCTTCGCTCAGACCGATGGCACACGGTGACCATCACTTCAGATTGCCAGGACAGAACAGTGCGAGATCCCAGTGTGTACTGCGTAATGATTTTAATTTTGATTTGGATCCTGGTGCCAGAACCTGGTGCAAACTGCAGACACAAAATGTTTCTGAAAAAGGTTCTGGTCTTCCTAGATGGAATGCAAGCCACGGAGAAGGAAATCAACATTGGCCCAAATCTCATTGCAGTGCCAGAATATGCCAGACATGTGTTGAACATTTCTTGTCGCATAAACCCATTGTGAATTGGTGGATTGTTTGGATGTGAAGCTGACGGAACGAGGAACATCTTCTGGAGGGCTGGGCACCGATGATGCAGGTAGAAGGATGCAAGGCTTGTTGCTTTGAACGACTCTGCACCTCAGTGTGAAGAAACGAAGCTCACAAGATTGAAACAATCTGCAACTCCAGAATAGTATGAGATAATAGAGAATGATTAAAGATATACATTGACAAATTATCGGTGTCTTGTCATGTTTGAACATTGTGGCCATGGTTTTATTGTGATCGATGCATTTGACAGCTCAAGCTGCAAGATTTCACCAGCTTTCACCTCGGGCCATGTCCTCCTACAGCACAGAGACATCCAGGACAGAGATGGCCGCAGCAGCCGGAGATGGGGTTGGTGCAGTTGATTGAACTTGGCCGAATTTTCTTCAGTTTTTCCATTCAATGCTCCATTGCTCCATTGCTCCCATTGCTCCATTGGATGTCATTGGTCTCTTGTGAGTTTCTCGTATCCTCAGCGATATCAGGAGCGCCGATGCGCGGATTGCTGAAAGAGCTGGCGCCGGCTCGTCAGTTGCTTTGATCGTCAGGACCTTAGCATGCCACTGCATGGCCATGTAGATTTGACTGTGTCAGCAATGTGCCATCAAGGTGCCAACACTTCTGAAGAACATGTTTCTTCGACTTTGCCAAGCAACCTTTTTGTTTTCAAATGGGTCTGGGAACTGAATGGCATGTACAAAGCAACCAACCCTTTTTATTTAAGGCTATGACAGAATTCAGGCATATTTGATAGGTTCGCGGATGTGAGCATTTGGAAAGATTGCCTTAGCGCTTCAAACAGCAGAGCCGCTTAAGAAACATGTTCTTGTTCCTTCGTGAGGGATACTCATCAGCTACAGGATGTACAGTAGTTGTCAGGGTTTCGTACAAGCAAACAAATTGAACAATTCTGCTACAAATCCTTCAGTAACATACCTGCTCTCGTACAAAGCGCTTGCCCTGTAACAGATGTATATATATATATATATTTGGTGCAAAATGCTTTTGGTGTGAAAATTCCTATCCAATAGGATGTTGACGTAGAAGGCTTGTGGTGTTGAACATTCTGTCATACAAGGCCATTGATATGCACACTTTGGTTTAGAACACTTGCCAACTTTAGCGTAACGATGTCAGGTAGCAAACGTGTTTGCTGCCCCAAAAAATGTGTACAACACTTGCTAAAAACTTGCTGCCAAATGGACAAAACCATGCAGGAAAAGCTTGGACAAGTACATGTAAAATGCCAAAGATCAAATTGTAATATACAGTTAGTTTATACAATGTTTCTTTTTTTCCAGCTTTCTGCAGGTTGTTGGACTCTCGGGTGCTTTCTTTCTGCAGGTTCTTCGCTTTCTGCAACTTTCTTGTCTTGAAAGAATGTACGCAAACACTGGAAGTCGGTTCTGCACTGCAGTGGGAGGTTCTGCATTCAAAGACCTCAAGTGTGAGCGAAGTGTGAGAGCGAGTTGCTGATTTTTTTCTCATTGGAAAAGTTCGCCCCTGGCCTCTGCACGAGACCATCTACATATGCAGATAAGAATTTTTGTCACCTTGTGGATCCTTGTGGCCTTGTGTATAAAATTTGGCATTTTTTTGTTGGCATCAAAGGTTGAAGTGGTCCTGTTGAGACAACTCGTGTGCACATTCCCTTCTTTTCTGACACTAGTTTTCTACTGAATTAGCTTGAGAACGTGCATCAGGTGTAAAAGCTTCTTTCTGTTGAATATTTGGGTACGGCTCTTGATTTGCCGGTATGCAAATTGCACAACCGCTCCACCTGCAATGTCTTCTTTGTACTACTAAAAGCTGCTACATACATACATACATGCATGCATACATACATACATACATAGATACATAGATACATAGATACATAGATACATAGATACATAGATACATAGATACATAGATACATAGATACATAGATACATAGGTACATAGATACATAGATACATAGATACATAGATACATAGATACATAGATACATAGATACACAGATACACAGATACACAGATACACAGATACATAGATACATAGATACATAGATACATAGATACATAGATACATAGATAGATACATAGATACATAGATACATGGATACATGGATACATGGATACATAGATACATAGATACATAGATACATCGATACATTGATACATCGATACATCGATACATTGATACATTGATACATAGATACATAGATACATAGATACATAGATACATAGATACATAGATACATAGATACATAGATACATAGATACATAGATACGTAGATACGTAGATACGTAGATACGTAGATACGTAGATACATAGATAGATAGATACAGACAGACAGACAGACAGACAGGCAGGCAGGCAGGCAGGCATGCATGCATGCATGCATCCATGCATCCATGCATCCATGCATCCATGCATCCATGCATCCATGCATCCATGCATCCATGCATCCATGCATACAGGCATACATGCATACAGTGGCATACAGGCATACATGCATACATGCCACCAATGCATACATGCATTCATTCATCCATCCATACATACATCCATCCATGCATACAACCATGCATGCATGCATACCGACAGACAGGCAGACAGACATACGTATGTACATACCTACCTACCTACCTACCTATCTACCTACCTACCTACGTACATACATACATACATTCATACAGACAGACAGACAGGCAGACAGAGATACGCAGATAGATAGATAGGATAGGATAGGATAGAATAGCATAGAATAGAATAGATAGAATAGATAGAATAGATAGAATAGATAGATTAGATAGATTAGATAGATTATATAGATTAGATGGATTAGATAGATTGATTTGTAACATTGAAATTTCTGCGTGGTTGCTCAAGCAAATGCATCCGTGGCTGTCCGAGGGAATCAGGTTGCTCGTGGCAGGATCCAGCAGTGGGTGGTTCGGTGTCTTGTGTCCATTGCACTTCATCTGTCCCACTTCTTGCCTCAGTCTTCTTCTCAGGCCTCGGATTTGGGGTCATTCTTGTGCTTCTCTTTCTGTTCTTCCACTTCAACTCGGCTTTTGGATCCTCTCATCCACAACCTGTTGGTCTTCCCCGTCCAGCCGAGAATAGGCTTAACTACTTGTATGAGAGGGGCTGGGCAACTCATCTGCACTCTTCGTGAGGCCATCTCCTCCCTGCGATCTCTGGCTGATTCTTTGTGGTCGGCGGTGGACCATTTTCAAGACGAGGTGGATAGGGCCCAGCCAGTTGGAGGAGGTGAGTCCTTGGCCTCGCGCCCTTGGGATCTTGTCTGGAGAAGCTGCCCCTTCTGAGGTACCTTCTTTTGCTTGTACTGAGTCTTTTGTGTCTTAAGCTTCTTACCAAGAGGTGGCTGCTACTCTCACTCCGGTACCTGTCCATTGCCTTAGCATTTGCAGCAAGCTATCAGGTTCCGACGGGTCTGTCCGAGAGAGGGCGCAGAGGGCTTGGACTGCGGGCCCCTGGGCCAAAGCCACCACTGACGGCAAGGCCAGTAAGCCACGGCCCACGCCCAAGGTCAATCATCCTCCTGTGGTGTGTATCATTGTGCGTGGCCCTGGCATCCTTCGACCAGTGCGCTGTTCCAGCTCGGCCGAGTATTACAAGCTGCTCCCTCGATTCACAGAAGACAGCTTGTCGCACAGCTTCCCATCCTTGGCAGAGGCGACAGTCTACTGCTTGGCGCAAGGCTTTGACTTGCCACCGGAAAATGTCAAGTGCGGCGGCCATAAGAGACTCAGCACCCTGAAGACCATGTTGTTCCAGCATGCCCTTTCAGCCCCTCCAGGTTTTGCCCTTGCTTCAGATGCCCAATCAGCATTAGTGCTGCCACTGATGAGAAGGAGATCCGGGCTCATGATGTGCATCCCTATGGACTTCTTTGCAGGGGATGTACTGGCCAAAGCCCAGTCTGCAGCGCCGGAGGATCTTTTGGGATGCAGCAGTGTGGTCACGTTGCCTTTCGTCCTGGAGGAGGAAGATGCCACCGAGAGCCCTCTGGGTACGGAGAACCTAGTCCTGATGGATTTGGACTTGGAATTGTGGACTTCCTTCAGCTCTACAACCCAGTCACCGACCAGGATGGTCTCCTATGTTTCTTGCTTGGGACTCCCAACGCGCATCCCTCGCCAATAGCCCTTCAAGGAGCTGCCCAGGAGTGGATTTCTCAAGCTGCGGAGGACGGAGTTGGATTTTATACAGCTCCCGAGGAGGAGGAGGATTTCAAAAGCCTTCCCCTGCAGTTGTCAAAGGAGCCCCCAAGAAGCCAGCAAAGAGGCTGACAGCGGCCGCCTTTGCAGATCAAGTTGCTGCCAGGGACACAGGCTTGACGATGTGGCTTCTGGCTCAGATAGCAGACCAGATGCTCCAAGACGACCGTGTGGGAGCCATGGAGATGTTGGATCTGACCTTTGTGCTTTCCCTTCAGGAGGATCCCCCTCCGGGGATAATCAGGCCTCCATCTTCGAATCCCCGCTTGAAACATTCTCACCACTCTGTCCTGCCGATTGGGCTGCAGCCACTTGAGCTTTGTCAAGGAGGTGGACATAATATCCATCCGCCGCCAAGAAGCCCTGCCTGCGAAGAAAGGCAAGAAAGAGGACGAAGAGACCCCAGGTCCAAAGAAGCCACCTCGGAATCCCAAGAAGCCAAAGAAGGGAGAAGGCAAAGGCGAAGAGGCCTGAGCCCTGACATCTCTGGCGTTTTGGCTGAACAGTCTGATTCTCATGACGTGACGGTTGGATGTGCGATTGAGCGCGCAATGGCGGAAATTTTCACCCCAGCCACTTAGCCACTCAGCGTGGCTGAGTGGCTGCGGAAGCCACTCTGTTGGAGTGGCTGAGTGGCTGAGTGGCCGGGGTGGATGACAAACTTCCTTCCACTAGTGGCGGATTAGCTGTATGGAAAAGTTTTTTCGATGCAGATGTAACTCAAAACCCGCAAAGTTTTTCACTACACACATTGTTTGTGGCATGACCTGGCGGCATCTGAATTTGTATTCTTTGCTGGCTCCGTTTCGCGATAATGTTAGATATTTGTATGTAGCGGGCGTTTCAACACGCTATGGGCCACTGTTTGTTCATTCGTTGATACGCCTCACAGCTTGGAAGCACTGCATTGCTTATGTATCTCAAACACATTCCTGCAGGCCATTGATTTCTTATAGTCAGTATTGATTTTTCACCGCCGGGCTGAAAGGAGTCCAGGAAACACGCACGATTCCCATTCTACCCCCATAAAAAACACCATTGGTACCCAGTTTTCCAGCAGATAGATCTAGCAGAGGGGGCGGGCAATACAAAGGAAGATTAGCCATGAATTTGAAAGGCCCACACCAGGTACATTATATAGGATTCAATAATTATAACTACATATGATGGGAAAACAAACAGATAGATAGATAGACAGATAGATAGATAGATTAGGTTAGGTTAGGTTAGATTAGATTAGATTAGATAGATTAGATAGACAGATGAAATAGATTAGATTAGATTAGGTTAGGTTTGGTTAGATTAGATTAGATATAGTTGGATTAGATTGGGTTAGATCAGACTAGATTAGATTAGATAGATAGATAGACAGATAGATAGATAGACAGATAGATGGATAGATAAATAGATAGATAGGTAGATAGATAGACAGACAGATAGACAGATAGACAGATAGACAGATAGACAGATAGAGAGATAGAGTGGTAGAGAGATAGAGAGACAGAGAGACAGAGAGACAGAGAGACAGACAGGCAGGCAGGCAGACTGACAGACAGATAGATAAGTACATACATACATGCATGCATACATACAGACAGACAGACAGACATGCATACATACATACATACATACATACATACATACATACACACATACATACATACATACATACATACGTGTTGAGGTCTTCATAGTATGATGTCTTTGCAAGTACTGTAAGTATCTTGAAGCTGAACACGCTTTGACACTCTTCTCGGAATCTCAGTCATCCGGAGAGTTGTGCTTTTGCACGGTTTCTCCTCGGGGGTAGCTATCTGACCCATCTTATTTCCCTCTCTGCCCTTTTTTCGCCCAAACCACAATATCCCTAGTCTAGATGTATGATTGACAGATATTGTCAGTACATGAGTAGAGCAGATTTAGAAAAAACGATAGTGGAGCAATGTGGGAAGCTCATTGGCATTGCCATTTTGAGACGCTTAAAAAGCAATAAACGACAAATTCAAATACGATGAACACAAACGGAAAGCCGTTCCTGCAGGTGGTTTGACGGACTTTCTTTGGTCACTGCTTGTTATTGATAGCACAGGCTCTTTGCTCCCTCAGGATCGGTGCTGGGATCTTCAGTCTGCCGGTGGGATTGCGGCATGCAAGCCCAATTCCTGGTCTGATAGTTTTGGGCACCATTGGCGTTCTCAGTGCCAGCTCCTACTGGATGATAGGCTACTGCTGTATCTCTTGCAGTGTGAAGTCCTTTCGCGACCTCTGGAATATGGTTCTGGGCCCAAAATCAGCATGGATCATCGACGTTACTATTTTCCTGAATGGCTGGATTACTTTGATTTGCTACATTATTCTGATTGGGGACTTTACTACGAAGTCCTTCGAGGGATTGCTTGGGGCTGATCACATTTTAGCAAGGAACCGTGCTTTGAATGAGACCGTCATTACAGTATTTGTTCTGCTGCCTTTGTCTTTGGCCAAAGATCTCCAACGCTTGGCCTATACATCAATTCTTGGTCTTGGCGTTTTGGTTTACGTGCTATTTCTTGTCATTCATGACTCTATCTTGAACAGCCCTGCAGAGATCAGCCAAGACGTGCCCTTATGTGAGTGGAGTTTTGGCATTTTTGAAGCGATCGCCCTGTACTGTCATGCCTTTGTGGCCCACTACAATGCACCCAAAGTCTTCTCGGAGCTGGCGAATCCAACGCTTTGGCGTTGGACCCTGCTTGTTGGAATTGCTTACTCTGTGGCATTTGTGGTCTATGCTGAATTTGCATGGGCTGGATTTCGACGTTTTGAGTGGTCAGTTGAGGGGAACGTCTTGAAAAACTATGGTCCACAGCTGAACATTCTCATTGCGTGGTTGGGGATGGGCTTTTCGATCGCGTTTACATATCCGCTAGTCTTCAACTCAGCCCGCGAGGCTGCAATAAATTTGACTCTGATGGCAAGGCAGCAAATGTCGGCCCTTCCACTTCTGCATCGGGTGATGAATGCACCAAGATTTCAGCAGCTCCGACATGGCTCCCTAGGGAGCTCATGGCAGCGCCGATCGGCACAGTTGACTGGCCTCCTGGGGCCTAGTCCAGACTCACCGAACCACAAGTTATCTCAAAAGCCAGGCACAAAGACAACCTTTCTACTCGTCTTTCTTACGTATGCTGTTGCAGTGCGATGTGAAGATGTTGGTGTGGTGAATGCCCTTGCTGGGTCAGTCATGGGTTGTCCTTGGTCGCAATGCATTTTTTCCTGGTATTTTCCCTTGCTTTGGGTACAATTGCTGATTTTGCATTGTATGTTGACAAGGCGCGGCACTTTTTGCGTTTGAAACCGTCAATCCAGTGAGGCATGGTATGCCTCGTGCTGCCCGGACTTCTTTTCTTCAATACTGCGCGAATGCAGCAGAGGTCGAGGGTTCAGACAGGTCGAGGCTTGCAAGAAGCGCTCTTGCCAAAAGGACGGGAGAGTGTGGTTTTGGAAACCAAGCTTTGAAACTGTCGAACTGTATGTGAACTTAATTTTTAAAATTGTACTTGCTTTGTGCCGTTGCTCATAGTTCTGACCATGTCAAGTACTCAATAGTGACCCCAAGTCCATATTCTGCCATGTAGTGGTCGCGAGGGTTTTTACCAGCCTTCCTTGACCTTGCAAACAAGGCGCGCAAGCAGTTGAAACTGGCACTTCTAGATAAGTTGATGCAGGTTCCATGTCTCCAGGTAGATTCACATAGTAAAGGCACACTAGTGCTGGTAGTGCTTGACACAGCCACGCAGTTCAAAGCATTCCTTTTGCCATCTACTGTGTCCCAAGTGCTGCCCCTGTGAAGGAAGTGGAAGGAAGGAAGGAGGAAGGAAGGAAGGACGGACGGAAGGAAGGCAGGAAGTTCAAGGAGGGAAGGAAGTGCAAGGAGGGAAGGAGGGAGGGAAGGAAGGAAGGGAGACCAACCTCAAACAAGCATCGAATAGAGTTTAAACCAGCTCCCAACAAACGTTAAACGTAAACCAATCCCAAAGAGACCCAAATGTCTATCCCCTTCTCTGCCAGTCTATCTATCTATCTATCTACCTATCTATCTATCTCTATCTCTATCTCTATCTCTACCTCTACCTCTACCTCTACCTCTACCTCTACCTCTACCTCTACCTCTATCTCTACCTCTATCTCTATCTCTATCTCTATCTCTATCTCTATCTCTATCTCTATCTCTATCTCTATCTCTATCTCTATCTCTACCTAGCTATCTATTTATCTATTTATCTATCCATGTATCTATCAGACTATCTATCAATCAATCAATCAATCAATCCATCAATCAATCAATCTATCTATATCTATTTACCTACCTATCTATCTATCTATCTACCTATCTATCTAGCTATCTATCTACCTATCTATCTATCTGTCTATCTATCTATCTATCTATCTATCTACCTATCCATGTATCTATCTATGTATCTATCTATCTATCCATCTATCTATCTATCTACCTATCTATCTATACCTACCTATCTACCTATCTACCTACCTACCTATCTACCTATCTACCTACGTATCTACCTACCTATCTACCTATCTACCTATCTACCTATCTACCTATCTACCTATCTACCTATCTACCTACCTATCTACCTCTCGACCTATCTATCTATCGATCTATCCACCTACCTACCTATCTATCTATCTATCTAGCTGTCTATCTATCTATCTATCTATCTATCTATCTATCCATCTATCTATCTATCTACCTATCCATCTGTCTATCTGCCTATCTATCTATCCATCCATCTAACCATGTAACCATCTAACCATCTAACCATCTTTCCTTCTACCTACTTACCTAGCCATCTATCTATCTGTGTATCTACCTATCTACCTATCTACCTACCTACCTATCTATCTATCTATCTATCTATCCATCTATGTATCTATCTATCTATCTGTCTATCTATACCTACCTATCTACCTACCTACCTACCTATCTACCTATCTACCTACGTATCTATCATCTACCTATCTATCTATCCATCTATCTATCTATCTACCTATCTACCTATCTATCTTTCTATCTTTCTATCTTTCTTTCTAATCCTATCTATCTAATCCTACATATCTAATCCTACATATCTAATCCTATCTTTCTAATCCTATCTATCTATCTATCTATCTATCGATCTAGCTGTCTATCTATCTATCTGTCTGTCTATCTATCTATCTACCTATCTATCGGTCTAGCTGTCTATCTATCTATCTATATCTATCTATCTACCTACCTACCTATCTATTTATCTATCTATGTATGTATCTATCTATCTATCTATCTAACTAACTAACTATCTATCTATCTATCTATCTAACTACCTTTCTATCTATCTACCTAACTAGCTTGTCATCAACCAATCTACCTATCTATCTGTCTATCTGTCTATCTACCTACCTATCTATCTATTACCTATCTATCTACCCATCCATCCATCCATCCATCCATCCATCCACTCCTCTATTTATCTATCCACCTTTCCCTCTATCTACCCATCTATCTATCGTAGCTATCTTATCTATCTTATCCATTTTATCTATCTTATCTTTGTTAGCTGTCCTCTTTATCTTATCTATCTTATCAGCTTAGCTATCTTATCTATCTCATCCATCTTTTCTATCTTATCTATGTTAGCTGTCCTATTTATCTTATCTATCTTATCAGTTTAACTATCTTATCTGCCTCATTTTATCGATTTTATCGTTTTTTTAAAACTCAATCTTATCTCTGGTATCTATCTTATCCGTCCTATCTATCTTATCTACCTTATGTATCTTATCTAGCTTATCTAGCTTATCTAGCTTATCTATCTTAATCTATCCTATGTATCTTTTCGATCTTACATATCTTATCAATCTAATCCATCCATCCATCCATCCATTTATCCATCATGTTTTGCTGTGAAAAACCTCACGTTTTGCTTACTTTTGGCAAGGTGCAGAATCCATAGCGCCTGCCGCGAAAAAGGACAGTTGAACGTCAAAAATGGTCCGAGACAGTCAGTTTTTAACACTTTTGACTTCGAAATGTGCCACAGCGGCGTGCACTTTTCCCACATCTCAACTGAATCATGTAAATATGTTCTTTTTGATACCTATGTAATAATTTTTGATCCAGCCTACAAATGGCGTTTCCTCTACCCTTCCCACATGTAGCTTCCAATTATTTCTTGATCCCTAATTTATTGATTTTTTGATCTCTTAGTTTTTTTTTGATCCCTAATATTTTTTTGATCCGTCTCCCGCAAGAGACAGTGTCGATTTGTGTAGACTTTGCAGCCATAGATCCTGTTTGATCCTGCTCTGGCAAAGGTTGTTAAACAGGCGCGCAGTTTAGTAGTTTCGAAAATGGCATAAAATATCAATGAAAATAAAACAGTTTCATGCGCATATCTGCCTTTCTTCAAATACTTCAGAGCTTGTACAAACTTTTGCCGTGTTTTTCTTCCACTCGGTGGGACACGGAGTTGTTGCAAATAGATGCAAATAGCAGCAGGGTGGTCAATCTTTTTGCAGACCAGGACTCGCGAAGGTGACTGTGTCCCAAACAACTTTGCTGGTGGCGCAATTTGCTGGGATGCTTATATTTCTGTCTGGCCTGGTCTTCACTATCGTTGGAACGGCAGGGACCTTGGCAATTTCATGAAATCGACTTTAGTGAAAACACACAGCAGCTCCACACTATGCCATAGTCACTGTGCATTTCTATGCGTTTCTTAACTGGCTATGCAGCCTCTGTATGTTTTTTCATTTGATCACACAGATTCTTGCTTGTGTGCTCAGTCAAACAGAAATCAACATATATATTTATATATACATATTAATAATAATGATGATTATTATTATTCATATATTGTGTCACATTCATGGATATGACATGTGGAAGGAATTGTGCCTCAAGAGATAATTGAAATGCAATCTCTGTGCGGTTTGGAGACAGGTTGGTGGCAATGTGAAAGTTCTCCGACCATCTTGCAACCATATCAAGATCTCAATCCTGGTGTTTTTCCTTGGTTTTCTATTTCTTGCCTTGTTGCCATTTTCGTGTTTCTTCTTTTTTCTATTCCTGCATTTTTTTTTGTCTCTACCACGTCTTTTGCAACTTGTGGCTCCTCTTCTGAAAAGTTTTTTGATGGGCTCTACTTGTTGTTCTGAAACTGAAATCATGGAGAAGGTACGACGTGGAACGAAGACATCGACTCCGGGGCAAGGGCAACAAAACATAGCCTCCATCACTCGCTAACAGTGTGTTAGGTGCTTGATGGACAGTTAGAGTCACCGCTGCTCAACCCACTGCCAAACATTTGGACGGGTTGTTGGTTTGTGTCCATATGCCTTTTCTGTGTGTACACCCATACATGCTATGTACCCTGTGCTCTGCTTTGTGAGCTTAAACCTTCAGGCGCCTTTCGGCATGAATATAGCATCAACATGGTCAATTGGACTTTCCATCAACATCAGCTTGGGTGAGGGGCTCATGAAACCCCTTTATTGTTGGGAAGATTTGCTCGGCATACCTGATGCGTGGCAATTCTCCCATCTAGCTTGAAGGCCTTTTCGTATGCGTTGTGAAGTCGACGCATTGAGGTTTGATCTGATAGAGCTCTGTGATGGTTTCGCCAGAACCGCCGCTGCCATATCCAATATATCATTTTTGGGGATTTATGGGCATTGTACTCTGGTCGTTGCAGTTGTTGTGGTTGTCGGGGTTGTAGGAGTTGCTGGGATTGCTGGAATTGTTGTTACTGCCACTCTTGGCCATGGTAGCGGTTGCAAACATCATCTTCTGTGGTTGTTGTAAGACCGATGGGCAAAACGGGTCATGATTGAAATCGCGATCGTCCTCATCATCCTCACCTCACGATCCTCATCTTCCTCATTCTTATCCCCTCAAAATTATGTATCATCTCCTCATAATCATGGTCGTCATCCGTCGTTATTGTTGTTATCCTCCCCGTCATCCTGATTCTGATCACTACACATCCTCCTTCTCCTCCTCCTTGTCCTCATCTGCATAATACGCGTCATCAACCTCATTCTTGTCATGGTAGCGGCAATCATCAGAATCAGAATAGCGGTGGAGTTGTCAGGCTTCTCCTCCCCCGATTGCTCATCATCGTCATCATCGTCATCATCGTCATCATCGTCGTCAGCAGCAGCAGCAGCAGCATCATCATCATCATCATCATCAGCATTATCTCGAAGACCGTTTGAACAACATCGTTCTTCAGCTGGATCTTTGAAACAGGTTTTCTCTTGCGAATGGTGCACTGGCTCTGAATACTGTAGGTATATGCTTTCAGTGTTAAAACGTTTGTTAGACAAGGATGTTTTGACACCTGTGAAACTGAGGTGGTCATTCTGCTGCATCATTGGAAGTGATCACAGCCTTCAAAGAAGGCTCTCAAGTCTGCTGTCCTAATCAGCCTTTCGAATCTTTCTAGGGCCACTTTTTGGGTTCTCATTTCTGGTGTCTTACCGGACAAAGAGCAAATATCCATGCCTCTGAAAGAGAAAGGCAGACAAGACAGATTGAGAGAGAACCTAGTGTAGTTTCAGACTTCCGGGGATTGAGCTGCGAGTGTGACAAAAGAGAAGCAGCAGTTTGTATGACTTTGCAATACTCTGCAATGCTTGCATTCCGAGCATGAAATCAACGAATTAAGTCTTGTTTTGCCTCATTCTTTTGCGTCCCATTGGGCCTTTCCTCTTGAAATAGTTTTGCTGCAAAGTTGTATTTTTTGTCCGAAGGTCCAGTCAGTCCTTTGGAGATGCTGACAAGCAGCTCCGGACTGTTAACAGTCTCGCCGTATGCAGTGCCACAGGTAGGCACCCCCCCTTCCTTCAATTTTCGGAATCATGGCCGAAGTCAGTTGGAGTCGGTTGCGGTCGGTTGAAGTCGGTTGACGGCATTTTGTTCATCTTTTTCTGTGCTGAATATCTTCAGGCAGGCTTTCTACTTTTCGCGAGCAGCAGCGCACGTGGAATGCCAGGAGGCATTATGCTGTCAGGATCCCGGTTCAGAGGCAAGCAGAAGTCGAAGCTTTGAACTGCAGCAGCTTTTTCAATGACCCTGAGCATATTCTGCGCAGAAACATGGGGTATTCCATCCACAAGTTCATCAAACTACCCCGTTTACCATGTTGCTAGGACAACTTACTTTTGTATTCATTCGCTTATGTATGATTCGCCTACTAATCACTCACTATTTATGCAAGGATTCGTTTATATACACTATGGAAACAGTGTGAATCATTGAATCATCCAAATCCACATGCGACAGACCTTAGATAATCGTATAAGTGGTTGAGCTACTTTGGTTAGCCTGTGATTGTGGTGGATCTGCAACGCAGGGATAGAGATGTGAGAAGTCTTGCCTGAATTTCTACATTTCCAGCTTTGGCAACCTATCCAACCTTTAGGCGACGCATCACCTTCTACAACACCATGCTTGGAAGTCAGCAGGTAGAGGTGACAATTTCGAAGGGCATGCCGATTGTATGTTCACTGAAGAATTAGTTCAAGATCTATATCAGATACTGGCCGCGGATCCATGACCACAAGTCTCTTGTCTCTTGATCAATCCTACAGCAAGCTTCAAAACAGATTTGTCACTGCGTCAGTTGACGTGTTATCACACGGCATGACTCTGATTTTCCGAGGGTTACCCTCTGTTCTGCAGGAGCAATATCTGAATTCTCGATACCAGCGGGAGAAGAAGCCTCCACCACAGCAACTTGCCCTCAGTCGCATTCTGAGAACTGACCTTGTTTGATCTTTCGGCAAGTGGCTTTGGCAGTGCCAGTGCTTTCACAGAGCCTCTATGACCTTGTCCCAGCCAGAAGCATTTCCACTGGTTGTGAATTCGAAGGGACAGCTGGGGTTTGTTTGAAGATTCAACTGCTTGCTTCATGGGGCATGACAGGTGCCTGAAATGCACAACTGCCCACAGAAGATGGAAACGGACCGCAGAAATGAGCTACGTATACATACAACATCTTGTCTCATGGCCAGCGAAATACGATGAATAAATGACACCATGATCACGATACCAAAGACAAAGGCAGCATCTCATGGCTGCATGCTTTCTCAAGGTCCTGCAATGAAAAAGTTGGGAGCTCGGTCTCCGGTGGAGAGAACATTACATAAGATCAGATAACATCCGCAACATGCCGGCAGGTAGGAATCATGTCTGCTTGGAAAATCACATGTGACGATGCAAGATCTGCGCCACATCTATGGATCCACGGCTCCTTCCTTTGTGAATTCGCCGACTGCTTTATTGGAAGCAGCTGCCCCAGACATCAAAGGAACGACTTTTTTCCATGCTTTTCAAAGCCTTTCAGTTTTCGACCAAACAGAGGGCATGTGGCTTTGCAACAATAAGGTGCAGGCGGAGATTTGGTGCACCTGCTTCGTGCTTTTGTGATTGGATTGGAAGGTGCATGCAAGAGCATCGGCCTTGACCTCATTTGCAGCGGATGCTTTTCATGTCATTTTACGGCGTTTGCTTTGCTTCTCGCTATGGCCATGGTGCTTTGCAACCTTTTTTGCTAATCGCTGCTATCCCGTAAACAGGTGATGGGCCTGCCGGTGGGAAGCCATTGTGGTGTCCTGTCTGCTTTTAATCCCTCTTGGGTTTTGCACCAGCAACTTCTGACAGGACGGATAACTCATCCGACAACATGCACATCCATTGGACTCAAAGACCTCATCTTTCATGTCAGCCAAGGTCACCAGATCAACAAACAGTGTTGCATGATATTGTGGAGCTGTTTCAGAGGCTGGAGCGTGCGTTTCTTTGGTGCAGAAACGTGTGCTGTATGCCAGGTAGTGCCCGGCCTGCGCCGGGGCGGAAGTTTCGAAAACAGAACATGGCTATAGGAAATCAATGGGCTATAGGAAAGCTTTTGCGATGCAGAAGCCATGAAGTGTTGAAGTTGTGAGGTGCATCAACAAATGAGCAAATGATTACTGAGATGACAATGAAATGAAAGAATCCATGCACAGTTCACTGAATGAACCAATGAGTCATGATTCAACGAGTCAATGAATCAGTGGATTGATGAATCAGCAAATCAGCAAATCAGCAAATCAATAAATCATTGAATCACAGAAGCAACAAACCAATGAGTCAATGGTTCAACGACTCAATGAATCAATGACTCAGTGAACAAAGGAATCGGTGCATCAATGAACCAATGAGTGACCGATCCAGTGAGTCAATGAATCAACGACTCAATGAAGCAGTGAATCAAAGAACCAGTGACTGACTGACTGACTGACTGAATGAATGAATCAATTGAATGAATGAATGAAATGAATGCATGAATGACATGAAATGAAATGAAATGAAACAAACATATAATGAATGAATGAATGCAATGAAATGACACGACATGAAATGAAATGAACGAATAAATGAATGAATGAACGAATGAGTGAATGAAAAAATGAAATGAAAGAAATGAAATGAATGAAAAAAATGAATGAATGAGTGAATGAATGAAAGAATGAAATGAATGAATGAATGAATGAATGACTGACTGACTGACTGAATGCATGCATGCATGCATGCATGAATGAATGAATGAATGAATGAAGAAAAGAAAAAAAACATGAAATGACTGAATGCATGACTGACTGAATGAATAAATCAATGAAGCGAAATGAAATGCAATGAAATGAAATGAGTGAATGAAAGAAAGAAAGAAAGAATGAATGAATGAATGAATGAATGAATGCAATCACCTTGGATCTGTTTGAGAAGTTGATCGACTTGATTCCAACTGAACAGCGGCTTGATGCTGTGAAACGCTCTGTGACAGGTCAGAACCACTTTTCAAGAAATGGCAGCCGTTGTGGGCAGCGGAGGAGATATAGCGGGATTGCTGTTGCGTGCTGCCAGTCCTCAAGCCTTGAAGGTCAATGAGGATGTTGCAAAGTGAATGAAGATTCCATACGCAAAGGCTGAGAGGGATGTTTTTCAATTCAGTTGATTGCTGGAAAGGCATGGTATAGTATGTAGATGTAGGCTGATGCATCCTAGCAAGACAAAATTAGGTCAAGGATGTGCACACCTGAAAAGCCTTGTTATCTACTCTTCCGAAACTCCCGCGCAAAGTCAGATCTCAACATCTTCACGCAATTTTCTACGGTCACAGCCTGGGAGCGACATAGAGCGACTGGGGATAGCCTTGAAGGAGCATGCAGTGCCTTCGTTGGCTTCGTCCTATGTGCGACGGCTTCAGACAGTGCGGCAAAATCTCCGCCCCTTGGCTTCAGCTTACATTTTACATCGGTTTACATCTCCTTTGCATCTTACATTCGCCGACTTTTCTAAAAGTTGTATTCATAACCAATTGTTCCAGAGTCTCACTTGCATTTACTGGTTCAGTTTTAGCCCCGAGGCAACCAAGGAGGACGTCCCAGCCTTATTGTTTTCCTTTTTTCCCATGGCTTCGTGCTCAAAAAATCGAGAGGATCCGTGCCATGACTTTTGTATATCTGAATGAGGTGATCCGGGTGACATATTTTCGACTCCAAGTAATATTGCATACAGACCCCGAGGTTTGCCCAAGACGTGATCATTGCATTGTGGCTTAGCAAGAGAACTGTAGGACTATTAATATTCCTTTAGAATTTACATAAGATAAAAATACACCACCTGCATGGAACAGTTAATTGTACTGATACTGCGATTGGGGTTTCTTTCGAGGTTTACGCAAGATGTAAAACCTCCCACCTTCGTGGAACAATTAAGCATTTCGGGTTTCTGTAACGGCTTTCATAAGATATATGTTTGCCACCTCCAAGGAACAATTGACCATACTCTAGTTAGCGTTTCCTTTTAGGGTTTACATACGATGTGAATTCTCCCACCAATTAACCGTACCAGAATAAGGGTTTACATAAGATATAGATTTTCCCACCCCATGAAACGAGTAACCACACAATCTTTAGTATCATCATTATCACCATGGTCAACATCATGGGCGTCATCATGGTGATCATCATGGTGATCATCATGGTGATCATCATGGTGATTGCCCTGTGACGTCCATTGCCCTGTGACATCCATTGCTCTGTGACATCCATTGCCCATCGTCATGGTGATCATGATCATGATCATGATCATGATCATCATCATCATCATCATCATGATGCTGGTTTGCTGGGACATTCGTTGGGAGTCCGGGTAAATCTCAGAGTTGGGTTGTAATATTGCAGATATACCGTAGTTCAAGTCGCAGCAACTGAAATTGGATTTTTCCAATCGAAACCTCGTCCTAGTCCAGCCATGTTCAGAAGTTCAGGTTTGTTGATTCCACTTGGGATCAAAACCTTGGATGTCGGTTCTCAGCTGGGACCTAAGGAGGATGCAACTTGCCGTGATCTGATGCGATTTTTGTTTGATGCGACATTTATGCGACAAATTGCGACTCCTAGGATGCTGATGCTAATTTTGGAGAAACGCGATGGACAGGCGTTGCCTTCTTGAACGACTTGAGCATGATGGCATATTGCATGACACCAGTGATTCATCATGATTCATTCTGGCCGTGGTCATATGTCATGAGCCCAGACCTACCGGCTGACTGTGATCAATTCTGGAATGCCTGGTCTGGACTGGCATGCCTGTTCTTCTGCTCAGAACTCAGATCTAACGGGGCAACCGATTCTCGAAGCTTTGAGCAGCTTTGCTCGATGGACTCAGAGATTGGTTATATAAGAGCTTTGATTTGCCCACTGAGCATAGTCACTTTCAGACCTCTGGTGGCATGACGCGTGCACCCTAAGGGCTGTGCACATCACAATCTGAAGGTTCAATATGTTCCATGAATGTACAGAAAAACTATTGTGAAACATTTGCATCCAAGCATGAAAGCATCTCCTGCAGCACAACCGAGGCTGAACCTCCCAAATTCAAGAGCCAGGCATCTAAATTGCAAGAAAAAGGAAGTAGCAGCTTGTGATTCAGCTGGTCGTTCTGGTCGAATTGCCACTTTTGGAGGCTGCCTTGGCATTTGACAACATCCCGAGCTGGAAAGCTGAAGATGATGCATTTTGGGATCTGTCCTCAGAAAGGTGCCAGACGTGATTCTTGAACAGATCAGGAATCTGTTGTGACTGCGGTACCAAGTATTTTTTGACGCTTGGACTTTGACCAGACCTTCGGTGACCTGGAACCTTGGGGCCTTCAGTTTCGCTTTCGATGGTGCACAACGAGGTAAACCCGGTATGTAGGCAGATTTGATTTGTTTGGTGTGGAAATTGTCCTTTAGCTGGAGCAATCTGATTCAATGGCAGAACAAGCTCTGAACTCTCCAAGAGGGAGAGGTATCCATCACTCTGGGTTTTCCAAGCAAGTGGACGGACAGCAGCTTGTCAAGGGCCGTGCAAAAAAAATAAAAGAGCAGGTCCCTCTCGCAAGATCATATTCATTCGACGCTGATTTGTACACTGGCCATGTCGGGCCACTATTGGCCAGTGAGGTGTCAGGTCCTTTGGTATTTTGTGCATTTTGATGCTTCCAAGGCAATGCTGGTCATTACCTCTGCTATACCTCCAAGTCCGATGATGGCGAAGGACTCTCTGACTCTATATGGGGCTTCGCTTCATTCACTACATACAGGGTCGAGTATCTATTCTAGAAGCCAACCTAAGCTAGCTGGATTTCAGTTTCCTCTAGCACTGGCACAGGCTGTGCCATTGAAATACTTCGCTCTCCCCAGAAAATCTTGTCCAGCAGGGCACCATGGTTCAGCTCATGTGAAACACGTTCCTGGGTTTCTCTTCAATTTTATTTGTCACGATTGGCAATGGGTGCATAGGAGAGCTGAGGACTTAGAGATGGATTAGGCTTCACTACTTCACTACAGAGCCATACGCCACAACACCCAAAGGGATTCGCTGCACTTTAGCTTGAGCACTTCTAAGCTACTTTTAACACCCTCTGATCAGGAGCCTCTTCCTCTGTATGACAAATTCATTCCCTGGCTCATCGGCTGTCCCCTGGAGTCAGAGTCTCTGGAGATGGTGTGACAGACGGGCTGAGACTTGTCAGTTGAGAAGATTGGTTTATTACCATTTTTAAGTTAATTTTAAATGCAAATGAAGTGGAAATGTGCTGCGACTGAAGGCACTACTTCGTGACAAATGTGTACGGGTTTGATGGGCAGGCTGGGAGACATACAAACCGTCTATTAAATCTAATAGTCATGCACGCGGCCCACATGCGCGCGCACATTCACACACACACACATATATATATGGTTTCTAAGTGCGACTGTGGCTTCTTGTGACTTTGCTGCTCAAGGTAATGTGGAGTGATTCACTGTGGGGGTGGCTGTCTTTGGCAGGTGAAGTCAATAGACTTGTTGCGTGTCCCTTTCACTGCAGTCCGTCTTGTGTCCCCTGGTTCCTTCTTGGATTTTGCAGTGGACTTACCTTCTGTGTGTTTGCCATTGGACTTCTCTCCTGTGTTTGGATTTTCAGATCGGAGCTCTTTCCTTCCTGTCCGCTTGTGGTTCCTGGGACAGTTCGACGGTCACGCCTGGCAGGGTACCTTGAATGAGTTGCCCCTTCAGTGCCCAAGAGCTTAGAGATTTGATAACCAAACTTGAGCAGTTGGAGACTTGGCAGAAACAAGCTGAAGCCTCAGCTGGTTCCTCTTCAAGAGGTTATACGCGCGGAGACCCAAAGGCACGTGCCAAAGCAGCTGCACCAGTGCTGTCTAAGCCGGTTTTTCCTGCGATCCCTCAGATTGCCTTCCGTTTTACGTTGGTGAAAGAAGCTGGACCTGAGTTCATTGGAGCTCCATTTCCTGGTGTGGAAGAGGGACCTGGACCTTTGCCTGCCCTTTTGCAAGACCAAGCCATCTTCCTTGATTGCGACGAGCGCGAAGCCCTTCAGAGGGTTCACCTGAGTTTTGCGGCAGGTTTTTGGGCCAGAGCATCTTTGGAAACTCACTGCCACACCTTCACCCCGCCTGTTGTGTCTACACCATCGAAGCATACTATTGTTTTGAGGGCTTGCGGGTTAGGTGGATTTGTCAGGTTTGCTGCAGTTGATCATTTCCAGAAGTTCAGTGATTTGTGCTTTTCTGGGGTGTCGCTGTACCACTCCTTTGCGACAGAAACTGAGTTGGAGATTTATTGCCAAGGAGCAAGAATTGCAGTTCCGGCTCTGTGGGAGCCATGCTGACCAAAGATCGGTTGAAACCAGCCAGCAGAGGTGATCCCTCTCTGTTGGTAATGACAGTTCCTGGGGTCGCATCGTCGGTTGGAGATGATGTAGATGTTTTTTGCCTTCCGATTGATACCCGTACAGGGGGGATGCTTTTAGCTTTGCCTCATGATAGCATTTCCCAAGAAGCACTTTTGCTTGGCCAGTCTGGAACCGAAGAGTTGCTGTTTGGCTCAAATACCTTTGTGACTGTCCCCTTGGTTGAGGAATCTGATGACCTTTTGTCGGTGGTCGCGCTTGGGATTGATGCCAAGGTGCTGGTTGTTGATGTCAACGATGATGTTCTGTTGAGCTGCCGAGAATATGACCCGGTCACGGATCATCTAACGGGCATACTTGGTTTTTCTCATGATCACCTAAATAGCCTGCCAGAGCCTACTCAGTTGGTTGCGCTTGTCACGGAATGGCTGTTGGGAAGGTCAGATGATAGGACGGGGTTTTATACAGCTCAAGAAGACCTGGCAGAACCCTCTCCAAAGGTGAGTCGCAGCAGTGCAGCTGGTCAGCTTCCGACTGGCAAAAAGGCGAATACAGCCAAGCGTGTTTCAAATGCCGCAGTTGCAGAACAGTTAGCAGCCTTAACTGCTCAGCTCCAGTTGTTGTCAAAACGCCAAGACCAGTTAGAAAAGGCAAGCAGCTCTACTGCCGCTCCTGCGCCAGATCCTTTTGTTGGTCCCACGCCCAAGTTGCCAGCCCTATCATCCGCGCTCAAGAACCCGAGCGGGGTGTCACAGACGGTGCCAGCCAAAGCTTTGCAGTTGATAGGACCTCCTCCAAAGGTAAAAGCCAGTCAAGCTGTGGTTCCTGCTGTAGGTGTGGCAGGCGACGAACCTTACGATGCCTTGCAGCCTGGACCGGAAGAACCAGCCATAGCAGTAGCTATTCAGCAGCAAAGCAATGCTGTTTTCGCTTTAGTGGCGCACCTCACTTCCCAAGCGGGAGACGTGCTGGGGGATTTCAGTGCAACTGGAAGTCAGTCTGGTACAACCAAAGGCGTGCAGCGCAGAGAAAAGATGCAGAGCGATCTTGCCAACGGGAGCAGCAGTTATTTCTTGCAGATGATGCAGCAGTTACATCGCAGGCTTTACCCTTCCAGACCTGTTCCTCAAGAAGAAGAGAATCTGATGAGTGTGTCGGTTCTGCACTACTTGGAGAGACAGGGAGGCTACAAAAGCAACAGGGAGTTGGGTTTAGTGGCCTGGGTTTTGGGCCATGCCATAGATGCAGCTGCTGCGGGCGATTTTTGCCACACAAAGGAGGTGTTAGCACTTTTGATGGTGGCAGTCGAGCAAGCAACAATAGACCGAGGCGATTGGTCCCTGGCATATATGTTAACGCTCATGGAGGAGCCGCCGAATCAGATGTTCCAGGACAGAAGCGCTGCCATGCTCCACCACACGAGACCATTCGGTCCGCTGGTCCCACCTCAGTGGACTGCAGTGTGCCTTTCCTACCTAAAGGACCTGGAGGTGCTTGCAACCCGGAAGACCGAAACAGCAAAGAAAATCGCGAAGCCTGCAGTAGCCTCCGAGAGCCCTCCGGCTTCGCAGGAGCCAGACAGAGAGGCTTCCCCGAAACGGAAGCCGAGATTCCCGAAGAAGCCGAAGGCCAAGCAGGCCACGGATGCCTGACAACATGCCAGCCTGTCCCACCGTCTAATAGCCCCAATGTTGGATTTTTAGATAGTGTGGATTTAATTAATGATGGACTTTTAAATAAAACTAAAAATAATTTTACTTTGCATGATGGGGCTGATGCTGTTCATGCCAAGGCTCTTCCGAAGCCAAGAAACGAGCCTGGTGTCAGCCTGAGTTCCTCTCGCTACAAAGCTGTGGACTCCCTTTCCTTTAGTAAGTGGTGTTCATTTTTGGCTGTAGCTGTGCTTCGCACTCGTTCTGATTTTTCTAGATTCTTGCTGTCGACCATGCACCTGCCGCGGAGCTCCATAGCTTCGACATCGCCAGCTTTTCCTTTGCCTATACCATTCCCTGGTGCTTTTGCAAAGATGCCTTCAGGTTTCTCAGCCGCCCGTAGAAGGAGATGTCATTTTCGCCGTGCAATGCATGTCATCATAATGGCCTTGAATTTTTGGTGGTGCGGGAACAGTTCAATTTCACTTGAACTTCTGAGGAGGGTTCCGTCTCCGAGCCAATCACGTATTCTTAGGAGGCTTTCGAACCTTGTGCTGGCTGACGGCCCTTCTGAATCATTTGAGGTGGTCAGAAGTGGCCGACGTTTTCCCCAACTTTTAGCACGGCTCTCCGAGCTGTCTGATGCCTTGACAAAGATGGGAGCTGGGGCTGGACCTTACGCCAAGATATATCCTGGTCACAGCGTTCCAATGGACAACGAGCAGTACCCGGAACTGGAGCCTTACAAAAGCCTTAATGCAAGTCGGTTGAAGGTAGTCGGAGAGGCCCAGTTTGACGCCACAGATTTCCTCGGTCCCGAGCTATGCATGGCTTATCGGTTTCCGGACTCACTGCTTTTCCAAAGAGAGGTGGATGGTTTTGAGATTCCTCAAAGGTTTGACCCAGTGCATGAGGTGGCAGCCCTTGCCAAACTTTGGGATGCAAAAGGACTTCTGCACATACATGATGTGGACCTCGTTGTCAGTAGACGGTTTGAGTTGGTTCGTGTCTTCAATTGTTTGAAAAATGCATCCGTGGACCGGCAGATAGGTGACAGACGTGGCAGAAATGCTGTTGAGATGCGTGTGACAGGCCCTTCTTCGACTCTGCCTTCTGGATCCGACATTTTGGACTTTTATGTGGATGCCAAAAAGGAGTCTGTTTCTATTATCTGTACGGATAGGAGGGATTTTTACCACCAGTTTGAGACCACCCTCAACCGCACGATGTCAAATTCCGTAGGACCTCTGATCCCACTTGAGCTGCTGAGGGACTGCAATGCCTTTGAGACCTTTGTTGCTGCCAAACGACTGAAAAAGCCTTCTAGGATTTATGGTGGTGACAGTTTGGGGTTTTCTGAGCGGCAGTCTTTTCCAAAGTGCCCAGAGGGAATGGCGATGATCAGTTTCAAATCAATCTTTCAAGGTGATCATGCTGGCGTGGAAATAGCAACTGCAGCCCATGAAGGAATCCTGCAGTCTGCAGGCCTTTTGCAAGAGGACTCTCGTGTTGTGGCCGGCAGACCTTTTAGGGGTCTGTCCTTGATGGAGGGGCTTGTCATTGATGACTACTTTGCCATTGCCACAGTTCCGAATGGGCTTTTAGTTGAAACGCCAGCTCAGGCTTGCCTCCGTAGCAGTAAGCAGCTTTACTCTGACATGGGGATCCTAGGATCGGATGACAAGGACATTTGCGGCGCCCGAAAAGCTAAGGTCATCGGTGCCGTTATTGATGCTTCCGAGCAATGTCAATCTAGGGGTCATGTTTTAGTTGCTTCGCCTGCTGAAAAGAGGTATGGTATGTCTTGGCTCTCCCTTCAGGTTGCTCAGCTTACTCATACATCGGATTCTTTGCACCTATGCCTTTTGGGTGGTTGGACTTCAATGCTGATGTTCAGAAGACCGATGATGTCAATCTTGAATGATGCTTTTCATCTGGTTGATATGGAGAAGTTTGATGCAGCGGTGCCCCAAATGCTGAAGCTTACAAGAAAGGTTGCCACCGAGCTCACCCTTCTGGCTGTGCTGGCTCCACTTTGCACTTCAGATATAGCAGTTGACTTTTGCTGTGATCTTTATGCTACGGATGCTTCACTCCAAAAAGGGGCTATAATCCAGAGCCATCACAGCAGAGACATGATGGAGGTTTTGTGGAAATGCTGTAGGTCAAAAGGTGGTTACTCAAAGCTCCTTAGTACTACTCAATCTGCCCTGGCAAGGTCACTTGATTTTGAGGAGTTCGAGATGCCGCAGCAAGCTTCTGTCCGGAGACCACTTGCGTATAGGTTCGATTTCATAGAAGTTTTTGCAGGGGCTGCTACAGTCACAGATCAGGTCGCTGCACTTGGTTTCTCAGTGGGCTGTCCAATTGACCTGTCATATGACGCTGAGCTGGATGTCTCGAAGCTTTTCGTTTTGGAATGGATTGTGCACTTGGTCACCAACCACTATGTGAAAGGGGTCATGATTGAGCCACCATGCACCACGTTCAGTGTTATGCGCAGGCCGGCTTTAAGATCAAGAGAGTTCCCTTTCGGTTTTGACTTGAGCGATCCTCAGACCAGCGTTGGGACGAAGCTTGCGATGATCGCGTTGCTGATCTTGTACATATGTGATCGCCAGGGTCTGACAGCGATTCTTGAGAACCCTTGGACTTCTAAGATTAAATACCTTCCTGCCTGGAAGTACCTAGTAAACAAAAAGAGCTGCCAAATGGTTAGATGTGATTCATGTGCTTATGGTTCGGCACACCTCAAGTCCTTCCTTTTCCTGTGCGTATGGGCCAAAGTTGAGCCAATTTCCGATAGATGTGATGGAGGACACACACATGTTCCAGTTGAAGGCCAGTACACTAAAAAGTCTGCTACCTACGTGGAAGGTCTTGCCATTGCCCTTGCGAAAGTTTTTGCCAATGGAATTTCACGGCTCTTGGACTTTGAGGCCGTGGCCAACTCTATCTCTCCTTCTGGTCTGGAGTCACAGTTGGTCAATGAGCTGAGTTTGTCCTCTGCCTGGCAGGTTACCTCTGTGTGGACTTTCCGTGTCTCGCGGCACATCAATTTGCTGGAACTGTCTTCTGTGGTTAGGCTCGTCTCGTCCCTAGTCAAGAAAGGTAAGTCAGGTCGCATTGTGATTTTGGTGGACTCAAATGTGGTTTGCTGTGCCTGTTCCAAAGGCCGCTCATCATCAAAGGCTTTGACCAGGCTCTTGGTGCGTCTTGCGACCCTCTCTGTCGTGGGTGGACTGTACGTTGTCTTTGGTTTCGTGCCTACTAGGCTGAACTGTGCCGATGACCCCACCCGTGATGTTCCTCTCCGCCAACCCATCCCGGGTATGGACTTGGCCACTTGGGATCGCTTGGACTTATTTAGGTTGGCTGGTCTTCCAAAGCTAAAGCGTTGGGCCTCGAACTGGATCCGGCTTGTCTTTTGCCTGATGGGGTCCTCTGCTCTGCATCTCTGTGATAGATCAGTCTTTCCTTGGCCTCGTTTTCCCTATGGATGTGCCACTCGGTCTTCTGTTTCTGTGGGTGTCGGTTTGGCGGCATGGATTTCGATGCTTCTTTGGGTTTTCCTGGTGAGGGACCGTTTGTTGGCTTCATCTGCCTTAGGCCCCTCATTTTCCTTTTGGTAGTTGTCGCGTCGCGGTTAGTTAGCTGCCATGGTGTCATATTCCCTCGAAATGCTGGAGATATGCAGCGGCTTCTTCAAAGAGAGGCCAGGCCCCCTCTTCAGGAGGGAAGGCCTGTTTTGGAATCTACTTCGAAGCAACGGGATTTTGTTCTCTCCCTGTTTAAAGACTGGCTGAAGATTCAAGGTATCTCTTTTGACGGTCTTATGCAAGAGCATCTCAGACGGGTCGAGGAGATTAACCAGTTGCTGGTGAAGTTTGGACGATGCCTTTATGCTGCAGGTAGGCCTTACAATCATTATGTGGAAACAATAAATGGTGTTACCTCTCTGAAACCGGCGTTGAAACGCCAGATGCAAGAGGCGTGGAATCTGGCCTTTGCGTGGGTAAGAGATGAGCCTAGTACTCATCACATAGCGATGCCCTGGCAGGTATTGCTAGCTTGTATTTCGGTTTGTCTGGTATGGGGATGGATTGATATGGCTGGAATGTTCTCACTTACGTGGGGTGCTTTGCTACGTGTGGGTGAGTTCCTACAAGCTACTCGGAAAGACCTTCTCCTGCCCTATGACACCAATTATACAAACAGGTTTGCACTACTGTCACTTCGTGAACCGAAGACGCGTTTTACAGCGGCGAGACACCAGAGCGCAAAATTGGATGTACCTGATCTTTTGCATGTTGTCCATTTAGCCTTTGCCAGGTTACAACCTCAGCAGAAGCTCTGGCCAAGGTCAGGACAGACCCTACGACTTCGTTTTAGACAAGTCCTAACAGAGGTTGGAATTGACCTGGTCAGACTGAACGGGAAGACACTAGACCCAGGTAGTCTTAGACCTGGCGGGGCTACTTGGATTTTACAACAAACAGAAGATTCGGAGTTCACTCGTAGAAGAGGACGCTGGATAAACCAGCGCACTATGGAGTTGTACATCCAAGAGGTGGCTGCTTTTCAATTTCTTTCTGCAATTCCGGATTCTCGGTTACCAAAGGTGTATAAGCTTTGTGAATTTTTTCCAGCTGCACTGCAAAAAGCGAGCAAATTCTGGGATGCAAATATTCCATCAAATGTCTGGTATTATCTGTGGAAAGGATAAGTTACAAGGTAGCTGTGGGAGAAATGGGTCACTTTCGATCATGCTGCCAAAGTTCAACATTGAGTCGAAAGCGTGTACGAAATACTCACGCAGTGCTCTCCAGCAAGGTCAAAAAAGGATGGCGCTTGAGCTCTTGGTTTCTAAGTGCGACTGTGGCTTCTTGTGACTTTGCTGCTCAAGGTAACCCTACCCTACAATCTGGCCCACCCACATTGAGCAATCCTTCCACAGATGGGTCACTTTCGATCATGCTGCCAAAGTTCAACATTGAGTCGAAAGCGTGTACGAAATACTCACGCAGTGCTCTCCAGCAAGGTCAAAAAAGGATGGCGCTTGAGCTCTTATATATATGTATACATATATGTAAAATATGTATGTTGGTACATAAATCTTGTTGGTGCACTGTACATTGAGGCATTTACGCTTCAAGACATGCCTCCGCATTACATGCTGCAAATTGTATTGCATTCCTTTGACCCATTCCATCGGTTACATAGGTTGCATACACTGCGCACAACTCACCACTATAGCCTATAGCTATTGTTTGCACTTACTGCATCCATGCATGTCACTCGTATATGCTAAGCCAGCAAAAATCCCTTTCGGGGCAGACGTTCGCCCAAAGTTTCATCGGAGGTCAAAACAGTTTAGGGTTCACTCAGAGTTGGTTTAGGGCTAATTCATGGTTGGTTTAGGCTTGGTTGGGTTCATCTAGGGTTGGTCAGGCTCAGTTTTGCGTTGATTCAGGGTTGGTTTAGGGTTGATTTAGGCTTGGTTGAGGGCTGATTCAGGGTTGATTTCATCATCCAGTGTACGATGCACCATCCTGGGCAAGAATTCATGAAGAAGAAACCAACTAAGCCTGTTCTTCTTCTCTAAAATGATGATGTGGAAACATGCGGCTAGGCATGCATGGCTTACGTATGAATCAATGCATGTGCACAAGGGTCTGCGGAACTCCAGCTTTTGTCCATGTAGTGATTCGATGGCTTTCATTCTGTACCCTTTGGTTCAATGTGAGCTTGTGGGTTTTGCTTCGCAAATCGATGTGTCAGGTGCCAGAACAGGAGCAATGCCAAGCTGGCCAGGCATCCGTTTCAATTGTTTTGCAGCCTACAATGCTGACTGACTGCCTTCAATTTGGAAATCAAAATATGGCAAGACAGAAGTCAGAAGTGCCCAAAATGGTCGAAAGAAAAGCTTTGCAGCAAAGCATTTTTTACAGTCTCTGAGCCGATCTGGTTCCAAAGAGAAGAGCACCTCTAGATAAATCTAAGGAAACCTTAAAGCAGTTTAAGAAACAGACTTGCAATGTATGGCATCTGGTTTAGATGTGTTTTATTTTAGTTTCAATGTTTATGGTTGAAGCTTCCACTTCGCTTTGTCGACAATGGTGTCAGGACCTCCGCACACCGCAGTATGGTGGCACTGGTGCGTGGAAACCTCGGTCTATCTCAGCCTTACTCAGTGCATTGCACAACTGCTGGGCACTGTGGAAATGCAATTACAGCTCTGGGTGTAACGCAAGACTTTCCGAGCAGTATCAGTCAGGTGGAGATGTATGACATTTGCATTGCGTTTCCTACTGAGAGCCAGCAACTCAAAGCTCAAAAAGCCAAGAAGCCTTCTCTGATGTAGCAAAAACCTAAGTCACGCGCTTGCAACTGAGGACGCAGGTTTGCCAGTAGTCAGCGCCAAGTTCATGAAATGGCATTTGCGAAGGTCATTCCTGAAGCTTGCCATCAAGGAGTGGTTGCCGGAGTTGGAGTTTTCATGGTTTCGAGCCTGCAGATTCTGAATTCATCCATGATCGCTCCATATCGCTCTGGACGTGTTCATCGTCTGCCCATGGGAGACACATAGAACAGTCATTACAATCACTGCCAGTGGTACCTAGACGGGTCGAACTTCCCCAATAGCAAGTGCCTGCAAGGGTCAGGTTCGTCAACAGCTTGCTGGGTAGTCATGGGTAGTCGCGGTTCCGACACAGGTCATGATGTCGTGTCGTCATGTTTCATGGCGTTGATGTCGTCATGTCGCTCATGCTGTCACAGGACCTGTCCTCTGCGAGAGCACTTTCCACCTCTGAGCGAACTGTGTTGAGGTAGACGAACTGAATATGCTTTGAATGTGCTTTGAATGTGCTTTGAATGTGCAGAGCGTTCAAAGTATCTTGGAATCTCTGCAGGATTGCAGCCAAGCAATTCGCACTTGGAGCGGTGAAGGCGCAACCTGATCCAGCTCTGCTTCCAATGACTCGCTTGTTTCTGCTGTGAGTACTGAACATGTGAAGGTCCGATTTCGTTGATACCGTATTTATACCACATTTCTGTTGTTGATTCAGGTGAGCAATCGGTTGACTCATGATGCTCCGGACATGGCCATGGCTGCAGAAAGGCTTTTGGGTCTCAGGCTCAGTGAGATTTAGATCCAGCACCTGTCACTACAGCCGCTTGACCATTCAGGAGATGCATTGTTTGCATACGCGATTCAAACCTAGCAGAACCAACGCGTTTTCCCAATTCTGAGTTCTTTCTTCTACAAGGTGATGCTCGATCAGTCGTGTCCGAATTGGAAGCAGCCGTGAATGCCGTGGCCTTGCTCTTCTTGGCTTTCGGGCTGCAAGTGAAGCAAGGCCTTCTATGAACTTCTATGGTCTTTAAAAGTCTTTAATGGTCTCAGCTTTGCGAGGCCAAGCCAGGTGCACACCACGTATGGAACGATCCATCAGCAGCTCGCTTTTGGCAAGCCTAACTCGCCTTACCCGCCTAGCTTACACAGCAAACCTTTAAAGTGGTACACTTGATGCACGTTGATACAGTGGCCTTTCTCTTTGGACATCACTCTCTGCCTGTCCTTGTGACACTTCATTTTTGTGAGGTGTTGCCAGTACTGGACCTCCAAAGTGGTGCGGAGGATGGGTGATGTAGTGATATTCCTTGTATAAGTGTTTGAAGATCAAAATGCACCACTAGCTGCGCCTGTCATAATACATCGCAGAACACCTGTACTTTGTACTGTTAACTCATGAAAGTCTTCCGAGTCTGTAAGCTAAAGCTGGATATCTGAAACAGAAACATAGTCCTTGCGTCCAAGTCCTTGCCCTGTCCCAAGACGCAACTTGCATTGTAGTACATAAATTACATTACATAATTTTACATAATGCTTTGGTTCCAACATGTTCTTTCTTTGCAAACGCAATTTCACACATGTTTTCTGAAGCAGATGCCATGCAGATGCGACTTTACAATGTACGTCTTTCATCCAGCCAACCAAGCATCTTGCGGGTTTGGTGCAGGCGGTGTAGTGGGATAGGGAAGGTATCCATTTGCCACTTCCCAAAGTCGATGTAAACCCATGATGTGCGAGGGCAGGGAACCGATCAGGAGCAAGAAGCAGAAGCTTGGGGACTACATCCTTTTTTCGAAAGGCTCTTGCGCACAGATGTGAGCCCTGGAGCTGCAACAGGGGTGCCAGGAACTTAGAAAAGTACAAAGCCAAAACGCGACAGAAGGCACAGAAACTTTTGTTTTGCAATCGTCAGATGCAGTCAGAAGATTTGACAGCCGTCAGAGCCGTCACAGTCGGTGTTGAACAAGCAATCTCAATGAGGAGCTTGTGTCCTCACCAAGGCCTCTGTTGGTGCCCATCAATTTATTGCAAGTTCCCACTGTCGTGAACGACCTGGATGAGGTGATGCTTTCCCCGCGTGCAGATACAAAGAAAATCAAAGAATATCAAAGAATATCAAAGATACATGAAGTCAGAATGAAGTCAATGAAAAGATATGAAAAGCAACCGACGATGGCATCCGATGGCACCCAATGGCATCCGATGGCATCCGATGGCATCCGATGGCATCCGATGGCATGATTGAACGGTCTTGTCGAGCTGCTACCTGCTATATCATATCACTGTCAGATCACTGTCATTGCTTGTTGCCACTTGTTAAGTGTTTCTTGTTTTTCCTTAACTGCTCCTTTTTTTCCTCGTTAGGTTCACAGAACCTTACAACTCTGTGAGATCCTGTGCGCCAAGCTGGCCTTTGTAGGTGGGATTTTCTGGAGTTGGATTGCTCCGCTATTTGTGCAACAGTGCCCACATTTCAACCTCATGTTGAAGTTTTGCAGCGTTTAAGTATGTTAGGCAAAGAGCGCTGCAAGTTCTCGCCCTATCTGCGAGTGTCCCTCCTGCAACATGCCTGACCCTGAAAACGTTTGTTGTCATGTACGCATGAGATTTGAGGCCTTTTGATAACGAACACTTCTCGTGCTGCACGGGCAAAATTCAGATCGAGAGTTGGACTTTTGCGAGTCTTGGGGGGACAGTCTGTGGAGGTCTTTACAGAGCTGATCCCGCTTCCTTTGGGTCGAGACCTTATGGAGATCCAGAGGCCGCATTTTGGCAGGTTTGCGAGCGGAACAGCAACAAAAACACCTGAAACTATGCCACAGTGATCAGGGAAAAGAGAGATGGGAAGCATGCAGGACTGTAGGAGTTACATCTGTCCGACGTATCAAGATTTTCAAACATTTCCACCAGTGAGGGCTTGAAAGTTTGGTTGAGAGACTTTTCTTTGGGGTCAGTCCAGGCCCAGCAACTCAGAAGGCACCTTTGAACTTGCGGGACAGCATTTGGGCACCTGAAGGCACCGTGATTCCGAGTGATTCAGTGCTTCAGATGCCATGATATCCAGGAAGGGCTTCCCAACAGCTCTGCAGACGGATCAATCGCCTACTTAATGCCCATGTGGTAGCAACATGTGACAACCACAGGTTACCATACTGCAGATATGCGCAGATATGTGTCCATGGCGCAAATTTGGACGGTTTGGTGTCCAATGAAGCTCACAAGTACCTTACAAGGAATGACCGCAACTGCCAGGTTGGGACGCTGTCCATCCGCAGATGACCCGGGCTTGTCAACTGGCAACTCAGTTCAAAAATCGAGTTTAAAGATAGTGTCTTACATAGTGAGCTCAGAGAGTGGACTGTCCCTTGCACCTTCTGGGCCTTACCAGGAACTTCTATTGATTCTCCGGCGTTTGGCAGAGCACTTTGCCGCAGCGGCCTGCACGCTTGCATCGAACAAAGGCAGCCCTTGCATCTTGGGGACACACACAAAATGCCTTTGATTTTGCTGTCGCTTGGAGAAAAACATCGTAGAGTGTCTCATGAATGATCTCGCTGCTTTGGTTTCAGGAGGTCATGAGATTTTATTGTTCGATTTGGTGCGTGCTCGCCGATTTGCCAGGATTCGATGCGACCAAAATCACCGTATTTGGTGCAATAGCTGCCATTGCTGACCGGGTTGCCCGAACCCCTGTAGGAGTCTCAGAATCCGACCCACCTTCGGTTGCTGTGGTCTTGTTGGGTCGCTGTTGCGAAACTGCACAGAAGATACATTAGCGTAGACATGAACTGTACCTGGCAACGGTTCCTCTTCCTTTCCCTTTGTAGACCTTGCTGTAACATTTCTAGATAAAAAGGGAGCAAATACAGAGTGGTACCAAGTGGCGGAAGAGGAGAAGTAGAAATAAGTAGACGTCACGGCACTAGTAGCAGCAGTATGTAGCAGTACTACCAACCTGAATACTTGCTATGTCATTCCTTGACATTTTTCTTTGCGGGATTTGTCGCACATGAATTTCAGTTGCACTTTTGCTGCTTTGGCCTAGAACATTGCTTGTAATAGGTATTTGACACCTGACATACCCTAAGTTTCTCTTCATATGATTCATATTCACGTATATCTCTGCGCGTTTATGCGCATTGTTGCTGCGGTGCTAATATTTGGGGACTGCGAATCTTCAGTCTCTGTCCTAGGTCCTAGATGCATATTTTTCACACGTATAGGTATAGGCTTTTTTTGACAGACATGTTCACAGTTTCCAACTTGTGGGCCCTCGTTGAATTGTGTGAGGCTCGAAGATCCAGAGACACCGGAGCAGAAGAGGGTCCGTCAGATTCTGAAGCATTCCGATGTATTCTCTGGTATTCTGTTTTCAAAGAACACGAACTGGAATGAAATCAAGACACTACAAACCCATGACATGTATCCAGATGCAACGTAGAGTCTACTCAGTCTAGTCGTAGTTCCATCCTACTGGTCCTTTCGATTCGCCATGATTCGTCCATGTCTGTCTCTCAAATTCTCTCAATTTTTCTTAATCTCGTTCTCTCATCATATCAACCTGAGGTACGCACATGAATTCATGCTGTCCCGATGCATCTTGAATGCTTTACAACTTACAACCAACTGGTCAGTTGCACAAAGAGATCATCTCAATTTATCCACAACGATGTTCTTTTTTTCAGTGATATCAGATAAGTTTGCTCGAGGCTACCTCGACCTATGTATTGTCGATTTCACACCCCACCTTAATCCCGTCGCAGAAACTTTGCAGGGGCGCTGTTCAGACGCTACTTTGATAGAAGTGAGGTTTAGGCGGTATAGGACACCAATTGGCCAACAAGTTTGCTTCCAATTCATCGAAAGACGGTTGTGCTGCACGGTGTGCTCTTTGTGTAGCAGACACCTTGGAAGATTCGAGGTCAGCGCTCACTGAAGCATTGAACGGAACCCTTGGGGGCCGACCAGTGGCTGTTGACCCCAACACTTTCCTGGTACAGCTGGGAGCTTGATCAAAGGATGGGGAAGACTGTGGAATGCTGGGTCAGAGTAGTCTTTTTGAAGGTAGCAACAGTGTGAACTTTTCCAAAGATGCTAAAGGTCTGAGACAATTGAGACTGCGGCGCCAGAACTGAATTTGGCTCGGACCTCAAAACCGGCTGATTCATGCTGGCGAGGTGATGTGAGCTTGAAATAGGTAAAGTTGACAAGCACAACAAAGTAATCTTTGCAGACAGCTGGACATGCTGGACCAAACTCCATCACCATAAACGTCTGCTACTCCTAATTCAATCCCAAATCTATTGGGTGCAAGATCGATAGATTGCTCTGTTACAATGACGATGGGACATATCCAGCCCCGTTGTTGTAGTCAGTAGGGTCCGTTGTCGTCGTAACATGGAGAGCTGCAAAACTAAACTGATGGCTCGCTGCATCTATATGAACACGTCCTTTGTAGCTTTTGTGGGGAACATCGAAAGGACCTGAATTGGCTCTTTTCGCTGGCTTGCTTTGGGCTCTGGCACAGCCTCTTGGCACCCCTTGCCAGTAATCCTTGGCAGTGACGATGGATTTCACCATATTTCACCTACCAGTAGTACCGCACAAGGCGGTGGCGGAAGTTTCAAAAATAGGAAACCTATAGGAGAGATTGGTTGTTGTGAATCAGGGATGGCAGAGCGAATCCACTGATGGACCGAAAGGTGCTTGAGGTCTCCTCTCTTTCTCTCTCTTTCTCTGACTATCTACTTACCTACCAACCTATCTTCTATGTATCTATCTATCTATCTATCGATCTATCTATCTCTCTCTTTCTCTCTTTCACCTATTTACTATTTACTATTTACCTTTCTACCTATCTACCTATCTACCTATCTATCTATCTATCGATCTATCTATCTGTCTACCTGTCTATCTGTCTACCTGTCTATCTGTGGTGCAGTGTCATTCAGTGTAATGTAGTGTAGTGTAGTGTAGTGGAGTATAGTGGAGTGTAGTGGAATGTAGTGTAGTGTAGTGTAATGTAGCGTAGTGGAGTGTAGTGGAGTGTAGTTGTGTAGTTGTGTAGTTGTAGTTGTAGTGTAGTGGAGTGTAGTGTAGTGTAATGCAGTGTAGTGTAATTTAGTGTAATGGAGTGTAGTGGAATGCATTGTAGTGGAGTGTAGTTGTGTAGTTGTAGTTGTAGTTGTAGTGTCGTGGGGTGTAGTGTAGTGTAATGTAGTGAAGTGTAGTGGAAGGTAGTGCAGTGTAGTGTAATGTAGTGAAGTGTAGTGGAAGGTAGTGCAGTGTAGTGTAATGTAGTGTAGTGGAGTGTAGTGTAGTGTAATGTAGTGTAGTGTAGTGTAATTTAGTGTAGTGGAGTGTAGTGGAGTGTAGTGGAGTGTAGTTGTGTAGTTAGTAGTTGTAGTGTTGTGTAAGTGTAGTGTAGTGGAGTGTAGTGTAGTTGAGTGTAGTGTAATGTAGTGTAGTGTAGTGTATTGAAGCGAAGCGACATCTGAACCTCCAAAAGTGGTCCGAACCCCAGCGTTTTGAACATTTTTACTTCGAAATGTCCTTCGCGCCACAGCGGCGCGCACTTTTTGGACATCCGAACCTCCAAAAGTGGCGCGAACATGTGGTGTTTTGTACATTTTAACTTCAAAATGTGCTTCGCGCCACAACGGCGTGCACTTTTTCGACATCTCAACTTCCAAGAGTGGTCCGACGCTGCGGTGTTTTGTACATTTTGAGTTCAAAATGTGCTTCGCGCCACAACGGCGTGCGCTTTTTCAATATCTCAACTTCCAAAAGTGGTCCGAGAATGGTGTGTTTTGTACATTTTGACTTCAAAATGTGCTTCGCGCCACAACGGCGTGCACTTTTTCGACATCTCAACTTCCAAAAGGGGTCCGAGAATGGTGTGTTTTGTACATTTTGACTTGGAAATGTGCTTCGCGCCACAACGGCGTGCACTTTTTCGACATCTCAACTTCCAAAAGTGGTCCGGAGCTGGTGTGTTTTGTACATTTTGACTTGGAAATGTGCTTCGCGCCACAACGGCGTGCAAATTTTCATCTCTCATCTGGCCAGCTGGCTCCGCACCCGCCGCTTTAGCGAGCCTACTTTTCGACCCTCCGGAGCCACGAATCATTGGAAAAACACAGTGTTTCGCGACTTTCTTACCTTTTCGCGCATCTGCATCTTCTTTCTTCTGACTCTTTCTCTTCTGATCTTCTCTCTTCTAATCTTTCTCTTCTCTCTGCCTCTGCCCTGCTCTGCTTTTCATCTGTCCATATTGTCGGAAGTTTGACTTCTAAACTTCCTTCGGCTATAGGTACCCTCAATCTGAAAGGCTTTGTGCCAACATGCTCCCGAGCATGTTCTGTGCCAGTATGCAGTATGACAAGTGGAAAATGCACCTCGATGGTTCTGTTCCGTTCAAACTTCTTCAGGGTAAGTCGGGTAAGTATAAGTATGCTTTTAACATTTTCAAACGGTTGTTGGCAATATGCCTTTTGCAAATTGTGATTTGCGCGAGCGCGGAAGTATGCTCTGTGTCAGTATGCTTGAACACGTGGTCTGCCGACGGATGATCTGTGTCTAGATGCCATGGGCTGTCACAAGTAGTCTCTCCTGCATTTGTATGTATTTATAAATAATATACGTACATATATCAATACGTATGTGTATATATATACATACAGCACATGTATAATATATATAAATAATACATGCACATTTTCTATCGGTTTAGTGCATACAAACAGTAGGAGCTTTCTGGCGGTGAGCTCTGCAGTCTGCGTACAAAGTTGTTCTCCGCGCATTGTGCACTCCATGCGCATGCCTGGCCTGGATTGCCGGTGCAATCCTGCTTAAGTCCTGCTTAGAGCAAGACTTCTTCGTCAAAGGATATTCCGAATTTGTGCACTTTTGGCAAGTAATGCTGGGTGAGAACCTCTGATTCGCCTAATTGAGCGAAAGATGCAGTTGGGATCAGTGGATGTGTGGCTGGTGCGTGGTGATTTCAAATTTGCATTTCCACTGCGTGAGGGATGCGACACTTGGGGTGTGTTGCTTTGAACTAGTATTTCAGCTTCTCGCCATGCCGGGGGCCAGCAAAGCGCTTTTCCATGTAGCAACCACTCTGAGAACGTGCAAAAGAATAGGGCATACGAGGCAAGCCCAAGTAGTTTGAAACATTCTTGTAGAAACTCGACTTGAGGCTCGCACAGCAATTTGTGCATACTTTTGTTACTCGGATGCAAAAGAAGTTGAAAGCCTCCCAAGGGTTAGAGCCTGGGAGCTTCATGCAGCTTCATTTGTAATCACAAGGTGAAGTGATGGGCCACTATGAGATCAAGAAACTCAAGGAGCGGAGAAAAAACTTGAAGCAAGGTACCCAATTTGCTGTGTTTGTGAGTTCTGACTGCAGGTGTTGATGAATATTGCCTTCAGACGTTTGAAGCATGTTCTAGGATTTTAGGCACAGAGCCCTTTGCATCAGGGAATCACAAACAACACTGCTCAACTGCCCTGCCTGCTCAAGTTCACTTGCCGGCTTCTATTGGAAGCAGAAGCATTTCTTTCGGTTTTGTTTGAGTCTTCTAAATCACTGACCATGAGTAGGATGAGACCCTGTTCGACTGGGATACCTATGGCCGCTAGCCTAGTGAATCTGCTAAAGTGGCGAATGGCAGGATTTTTGACAAAAGCATACCATTTGGATGTTTGTTGATCTTCTTTATATATATAGATATATTTCATTTTTCAATTTTCAGGATGGATGATGTACGTGGAGAGGGAGAAAGGTCTTGAGAGAGTTGTGTCCGTTGCTGAGTTGCTGACGGTTTGCTCAGACTCAGTTGTGAAGCAATTGGGTGGGTCAGGAAGTAAAGGCGGTGCCAGTTTGCTTTAAGATCAGAGACAATAAAGACCGAGACACTCGGTTTCCCAGAGCTATACTAAACGGAGTGAAGCGGACATTGTTACGGTTTTGAGCCTGAAGATCACGCTTCTGATTCAAAGTTTACACGAAGATTTTCATGTGAGTATACGGAACCTAGAGTAAAAATTAAGTTCTCAAACTCATTGCTGCCGACCCCTTGGCAATGCCAGAAACTTAGGAGAACTGGTTCTGGTATGCCTGCCACATGCCCTCTAGGGTGGTAGAGAAAACTTGCCAGTCATCTCCGAATAACAATTCCCATTCTAGATACAGCAAGCAAAAGGAGCTACGCAGAATCCTTCGCAGCTGTGTAGAGGAAGCAGATGTTTTGGCCTATTGACTTCGCAAATAATAGGATCTTGTTAGGGCCAGGGCTATTCTTTTTCTCCCTTGTTCCCATTGCTCAAATTATTTCTGCAATCACTCAGAACCCGTGTTTAGAGAGAAGAGCGACAACACGATCGTCCGGCTGTGCCCATGTTTTTTTGATGTGGATATGCGTCCAAGCTCGCGCATTTCAGGGAAAAGCTTGAATATCTCCTCGAGGGTCCCAAACTTGCTTTTAAGATCTTTCAAGCCGACATTAATCAAATTTAAGTGCTTGAAAGCTCACGAAAGCCTTGAAAGCTTACAAACTCTGAGTCTGCCGGGTCTGCTCTGTTCTGTCAGGAAGCAAATGTGTGCGAAGCATCTCCTGGAGACTGGCAAGGAAATGGGGTCATTTTTTTCATTTTTTCGATCATTTTTCTTTTGGTTGTTTTTTGACCATTTTGGCTTTGTCGAACACATCATATATGTATATATATAATATTGATCGATAGAATATTTGTGGTACACCCAAATTCAATTTTGAGTTGTGGACTCTGCAGGACTGGGGAAAGCTCGTGGCTGGCAATCAGTCGGAAAATGCATACCTGGCTAAAGCCCCAGCAGCCAAGCACCTGCGATCCAGCATGGGCTGTCACGAAGAAGTGAAACGCAAGAGAGTTGGCAGTGGAGCCAAAACAGGTAGAACAAGCAGGACAAATCATGACTTGATTTTCCTGAAATCTGGACATGTTACTTCAGTTGGATGCCTGAACATAGCAGAACATCGAGGGACTAGAGGCTTAGCTTGCTTTCCAAGGTCCGAACTTGGCCAGAGTTTGCAGCTCTGCGAGACATCATGTTCTTCTGGAAATACTTTCTATGACGCTTTCTCAGAACCACTCGTGATGATGAATCATGTCTGAATCATTTCTGAATCATCAGAAGAAGTTTAATTCGCAAACTTCCGAGTTACGGACGAATGTCCATGGTCAGTCTTCAAACCATGTCAACAGCAGAGCTGGTAAATTGTAACAGTAGTTGGCAGTGGAAACAGTAGATCACAGTAGCGGTCCGGGAGCGTGTGAGTTCGCGGGTGAAACACCTGCAGTGCGCGAATCCTTGTTTTTACAGGTCTGGTGGCTCCAGGGGTCGCCCAGGGATGGTCTGAGTTTTCGACAAGCCGACAAAATGCCAAGAAATCGAGTGAACCGGACCACTTGGCGCTGAGCGCGCTTTGGTGCGACGCTCCTGCTGTGCAGGATTGCAGCTGGAGGTGACGAAACGCATTGGCATGGCTGCGCGAAGGAAGGTCATTGTTGCTGCAGCTCCTGCTATGCATTGTAGCGATGGCGAGAAATAGGTTTTGGAGTATCGTGCTGCTGTCGCACTAGGCGCCTTTGCAGCTGGAGGTTGCAAACCCATTGTGCTGCCTGCCCGAAGGGAAAAATCGGGTGCAGAAGCTGCAGAAGTAGCCCGGAGAAGAAATTAAATAGCTGAAAGGGGGAGGTGGCCCAGAGCAGACGCGGGTCGAGCAGAAGCAGTCCAGAGAAGAGGCGGTTCGTTTGTTCTTGCGTTGATCCAAAAACTCCTCACTTCATTGGCTGATTCATTCATTTCTTGATTCAACCATTCATTGGCTCATTGATTTGTTGATTCACTGGGCCATTGATTCTTGATTCTTGATTGGTTGATTCGTTGGTTTGATTTGATTTTTACTTTGATTTTGATTTTGGTTTTGATTTGATTGATTTGGCTGACTTGATTTGATTTGAACTGGCGGCTTGATTTGGTTTGATTTGATTTATTTGATTTTGTGTTGTTTTTTGATTTGACTGATTGACTGATTGCTTGATTGGTTGGTTGATTGGTTGACTGATTTGATTGAGTTGATTGACTTGAATGGGTTTGATTTTTGTGATTGATTTGCTTTTGTTTTGTTTTGTTTTGTTTTGTTTTGATTGATTGACAGGTTGGTTGGTTGACTGATTGATTGATTATATAACAGTTTCTTTGCCTACTGGATTGTTTGGTTGATCTGGTGAATTATGGTTTGTTTGGTTGGTTGGTTGGTTGATTGACTGAATGGTTGGTTGTTTGAGTAATTCTTTGCCATCTTGATTGTTTGTTCGGTTTGTTGATTGGCTGGGTGGTTGGTTGAAGGATTGATGGGTTGATGGATTGACTGATTGAGGCAACCTTTGCTTGATTATTTGGTTGATTTGCTGATTGATTGGTTGGTTGATCGGTAGGTAGATTTTTTTTTATTTATCGATTGTTTGGTTCATTGACTTGATTGCTTGATTGCTTGATTGATTGATTGGTTGATCGGTTGACTGAATCACTCCTTGCCTGATTGATTGTTTGGTTGGCTTGTTGATTGATCGCTTGGTTGTTTGATGGTTCTACTGACTGACTCGTTGATTGCTTGCTTGCTTGCTTGATTGGTTGATTGTTTGGTTGATTGGTTGACTGGTTGATACATTTGATTGACTTGATTGGTTTATGTCATTTGATTCGATTGATTTGATTGAGTTGCTTGAGTTAACTGACTTCATTGGTTTGATTGATTTGATTGGTTTGGCTGATTTGACTGAGTTGATTGGTTTGATTGAATTGGCTGATTTGATTTGATTCGATTCGATTTGGTTTGATGACTTGATTTGGATTTTGATTTCGGTTTGTTTGTTCGGTTTTGATTTTGATTTGATTTGATTGGATTCTTTGTTTGTTCGATTGATTGTTTGGTTGGTTTGACTGATTTGATTTGAATTTGTTTTGATTTGTTTTGATTGGTTGATTGTTTGATTGATTGAGTGATTGGTTGGTTGGTTGGTTGATTTGATTGATTGATTTGATTGGTTGAATGGCTGATTGAACTGATTGATTGATTGATTGATTGGTTGGTTGGTTGATTGATTGATTGATTGATTGACTGACTGGTTGATTGATTGACTGATTGACTGATCGAGTGATTGGTTGATTGATTGATTTGACTGGTTGATTGGTTGTTTGATTGATTGTTTGGTTGGTTGGTTGATTGTTCGATCGATTGATTGAAAAATTGGATTGGTTGATTGATTGTTTGTTTGGTTGACTGGTTGATTGGTTGATTGTTTGATTGATGGATTGGTTGGTTGGTCGGTTGGGTGGTTGGTTGATTGTTTGATTGGTGTATTGGTTGATTGGTTTGTTTGTTTGTTTTGTTTTGTTTGTTTTGTTTGTTTGTTTTGTTTGTTTTGTTTGTTTTGTTTGTTTTGTTTGTTTTGTTTGTTTTGTTTGTTTTGTTTGTTTTGTTTGTTTTGTTTGTCCCGAGAGCGTCTGAGCGCAGGGTTCTTCCAATAGTGGGGGTCTGTGTCTCATCTTCTCATCTTCACACCTTCTCATCTTCACACCTTCTCATCTTCACATCTTTTCATCTTCACACCTTCTCATCTTCACATCTTCTCATCTTCACATCTTCTCACTTCACATCTTCTCATCTTCACATCTTCTCATCTTCACATCTTCTCATCTTGACATCTTCTCATCTTCACATCTTCACATCTTCTCATCTTGACATCTTCTCATCTTCACAGCTGCTCATCTTCACATCTTAACATCTGCTCTTCTTCATATCTTCTCATCTTCACATCTTCACATCCTCACATCTTCACATCTTCTCCTCTTGCCCTCTTGCCCTCTTGCCCTCTTGCTCTTTCCTTCTTTTCTATTTCTCTTCTGAAGGCGGGGGCAGGGGCAGTGCCAACGAGACGGCACGAAACGCAACGCTTTCGCACGAAACGAGGTTCGATCGCCAAAAACTGAGGTAAAATTGCGATTTCAAGTTGCTCCGCGCAACCCTTTCGCACGAAACGAGGTCCGATCGTCAAAAACTGAGGTAAAATTGCGATTTGCAAGGTGTCCCGCGCACCCTTTCGCACGAAATGAGGTTCGATCGTCAAAAACTGAGGTCAAAGTGCGAGTTCAAGTCGTCCCACGCAACCTTTTCGCACGAAATGAGCGAGGTGTCCCGCGAAACCTTTCGCACGAAATGAGGTTCGATCGTCAAAAGCTGAGGTCAAAGTGCGAGTTCAAGTTGTCCCGCGCAACCCTTTCGCACGAAATGAGGTTCGATCGTCAAAAACTGAGGTAAAATTGCGATTTCAAGTTGTCCCACGCAACCCTTTCGCACGAAATGAGGTTCGATCGTCAAAAACTGAGGTAAAATTGCGATTTCAAGTTGCTCCGCGCAACCCTTTCGCACGAAACGAGGTTCGATCGTCAAAACTGAGGTAAAATTGCAATTTCAAGTTGTAAAAGTGTCTGTGTGTAAAAGCTTCTGTGTGTAAAAGCGTCTGCGTGTAAAGCGTCTGTGTGTAAAAGCGTCTGAGTGTAAAAGCGTCTGTGTGTAAAAGCGTCTGTGCGTAAACGCGTCTGTGTGTAAAAGCGTCTGTGTGTAAAAGCGTCTGTGTGTAAAAGCATCTGTGTGTAAAAGTGTTAGTGTGTAAACGCGTCTGTGTGTCAAAGCTTTTGTGTGCAAAAGTGTTTGTGTGTCAAAGTGTTTGTGTGTAAAAGCGTCTGTGTGTAAAAGCGTTTGTGTGTAGAAGCGTCTGTGTGTAAAAGCGTCTCTGTGTAAAAGCGTCTGTGTGTAAAAGCGTCTGTGTGTAAAAGTGTTCGTGTGTAAAAGAGTCTGTGTGTAAAATCGTCTGTTTGTAAAAGCGTCTGTGTGTAATAGCTATATTGTCTTGATACTCCTCTTCTTGTCTGCCTATAATACATCTTTAATATATTGTCCTGTCATATGGTGTCTCAATACTAACAAGGGAAGGCCCTGCTCCTCTACGCTCTCGGGCCATCCGTCGTCTAGTCTTGTTTAGTTAGTTAGTTAGTTAGTTTGTTTGTTTGTTTGATTATTTGATTCACTGATTGAGTGCTTGATTGTTTGTTTGTTTGTCTGTTTGTTTGGTTGATAGATTGGTTGACTGATTGCTTGCTTGCTTGCTTGCTTGCTTGATTTGAGTCATTAATTGTGTGATTGACTGATTGATTGGTTGATTGATTGATTTAGTGATCGATAGGTAGGTTGATTGACTGATCGATTGACTGGATTGATTGACTGATCGATTGATTTGACTGGTTGATGGATTGATTGACTGATTTGGTTGATTGGGTGGCTGACTGATTGATTGATTGATTGATTGGTTGATTGATTGGTTGTTTGATTGTTTGATTGATTGATTGATTGATTGACTGGTTGGTTCGTTGGTTGATTGATTGATTGGTTGATTGATTGATTGTTTGATTGATTGGCTGATTGACTGAGTGGCTGATTGATTGGTTCATTGATTGGTTGTTTGATTGATTGACTGAATGACTGTTTGACTTGGTTGGTTGATTGATTGATTGGCTGATTGCTCGATTGACTGATTGATTGGCTGACTGATTGATCGTTTGATTGATTAATTGATCGTTTGATCGGTTGATTGATTTAGTTTGATTGTTTGGTTGGTTGATTGCTTGATAGATTGGCTGATTGAATGAATGATTGACTGGTTGGTTCATGGGTTGATTGTTTGGGTGGTGGGTTGATTGACTGATGGATTTGATTGATTGGCTTGATTTTTTTGATTTGATTTGGTTTAGATGGATTTGATTTGAACTTATCTGTTTTGAAACTGATTTGGTTGATTGACTGATTGATTGATGAGGGGTGTGGGTCACCCTGCCGGTAAGCCCGACAACGCATTTTCTTGGGACCAAGTAGTGGGACTTTCAACGAAATGCATAATAACAGCATTCCTACAACGATTAGTGAAAGAAAAACACCAGTTTTTCTGAGTGACAAAGAGCGGTGGCTGGTCATGCCATTTCGGCTCAAGGCTGACCAGCCACCCAATTTCAAGATGTTCTTTTGTGTGTTGCTGTGGCTGTTAGGGTGCGCGGTCAGCCATGTACCCGACACAGTCTACAGCGATGCAGATGGTGGAAATTCGACAGCTGCGGGACCACTACGCCTTGCCGGCGGAACTGTGGGTCAGCTTCATTCAGATAGCTGGCGGCCCAGGAGAGGACATGAGGCTGCTGGCGGTCTTGCCGACGAACGTGGTCTCCGCGGCTTTGGAACGTGCTGTACTACCAGACGGCACGTCTTTGTCAGCGGTCCAGGCCCCCCATGTGGGACTCATCTACAACTTGGCAAAGCGCATCCAACATACACGTGGAGGAGGAGACTGGGATGCTTGGACGGATCTATCCCCCTTTGGGAACAACCAGGAGAATGTGACCGTGACGAAGGTTCAACCAAGTGGCCTGGGTTCAGAACGGAAGCTCAAGATGACCCAAATTCTGGACCAAGGAGACGATGGAGAATTCATTGTGGAGAACGAGGAGTCGAGGGCCAAAGGGTACCAACAGTACCTATCCACGGTGGGCAGTTGGCCCCCAGAAGAAGAAGATCCAACGCTCGAGCAATTAAGCGCACTTCAGAGGAGGATTGCTGTGCAGGACACAGCTCCTTACGTGGACTTCGCCCTCTTTGTCCCGTTTGGTCATCGAGCTCTCAAGGCATCGAAATTCAGGACCTACGTTTTGACTGCCTCCGGCTATGTGACGAAGGAGTTGCCAGGGCCCTCAAACTTCGTGCAATGGAGGACTTGCTACCGCCTCCTAAGGAGCGCCTTGATCATGCTGGACGCGGTGGGATTGAATCATTAAGCCGTATTACATGGATACGAGATGCAAATGGAACGCTTGTCGAGGATGTATCCAACGGCATGGCATCTCATCTACCTGGCAGACGAAGTGGCTCGATCATCTCAATCAAACCGCATGAGATCGAAGGTGCTCATGGACATCAAGGCGGGCAAGATGGCTCCAGATGGTTTCAACCCATCCCGGCCTTGGGACTAGATCTATTCGGCGTTGGCAAAGGACGAGACGTTTTGGCAGTCTCAAGTGCACTCACCAGCATTGGCTTGGATTGCAGCGGGGAGTCATGGACTTCCCAAAGCGCCGGCAGAGCAGTTGTGGTGTCAAGTTCACTTCAGGGGGGCATTACAGCCATCGCACCGGTCATGGAGAACGAGGCGAACACGAAGGGGACCCCGGTGAACGACAGAAGAAAGAGAAGGCGAGGCAATGGAACGAAAGGTGGAGGCACTGGAGAAGAACCCGGGCAAGGCAAGGGCAACACGGGAGAGAGAAAAGGGGGGCAGAAAAGGAAAGAGCACCCAGAAGTGCTTTTCATGGAACCACGGAAATGCACCCTGTGGGGACTTGCCGCCGGGGCAGAAGTACACCGCCAAAGTTCAGAGACTGCACCGATGCACAAAGTGCGACTCTCCGGGGCATCCGAGTCGAACATGCCCCAAGAAGGAGTAGACGCTCCAAACCCTGGCAACTCTGAAACCTCGAAGAAGCAGTCCAAGGAGGAGAAGACAGACGCCGAGGCTGGAGAAGTGTCGGACTTCTACACTTATACATACGAGATGTGGTGACCAAGGTGAAGAAGATCCGAACGAAGAAGAGGAAGAAGTACCGCTTCAAGCGGACACCCTTGAGGAGTTCTACACAAAGCGGGTCTTCATCTTCATACACCACTACGCAGGGCCAGAAGATCCTCTGACAGCAGCCATGAGGAACGAAGCGCTGGCCCAGGGTATCAGACTGAAGGCAATTATTGTGGAGAAGGATTTATTGGCAGACGAGCCCTACACAACACACTTGAGATGGGCAAGAAGGGGCTATGTTGATGCCTACCATACGGGGTTCCCTTGTGCCACTTTCTCCCAGACTGAGGGTCAGAAAGGCCCCAAACCTTCCAGGTCCAGTTCGCAGCAAGTCGCAGCCCTACGGCTTGAAGGACAACTCACAAGCCGCTCAGCTGGACTGCGACAATGGCACAATTATGGCATGCCGTGCAATTGACCTCGCAACGACAGTGGCGAACAGGCACCTGGTGTCGAAGGTACCTCCTGTGGCTACGTTGGAAAACACCCCTCCAAGTGACATAGAAGGGCATAAGGGCATCTGTCAGCATGGGAGTTGGCATCAAGTTCGACCCCTCCGGAAGGATTGTCTCAATGTTTTTTAGAGAGTCGAAAATCGACTCGGAAGGCTTTGGCGTCACTCGCACTCTGCAATGCATGTGTGAAGGCGGTTGCGATTTGAGATGCCCTTACGCGGTACTTGGGGTCCTTGTCAACAATGCCGCGTTGAAGGGGGCTACAAAAGGAGACTCTGCGACCACACCCAAAGGAAGTGTGGCGTCCAAATCAGACGTTGTGGGCGCTTGGCGCACCCTGTTTGGCAAGCCGGTCGCGGGACATTCGGGTCGTCGCTCAGGCGCTCTTCAATACATTAGGTAAAGGCTGGGCAGTGAGCCAGGTCGGTTACTTGGGTAGATGGAAGAGCAATGTGATCATGGAGTACGGGCAGGGAGCTTTGGAGTCGATGGCTGTGAACGCATCACGTTCCTTCGAGCTCCAGGGAAACCAATCGAAGGATTGCAACACCCCATCATTGACCGATCTCCTTTCAATGAACAAGCAAATCGAAGACAAGGCGGACAAACACTTCGCCACCAAACTCAAGGAAGAGTTCAAGTGCGACTCAAAGGGCGCCACATCAGCACTATCTACGGCCATCCAACACTTGGAAGACAAAATGCAGGTATCCGCAAAATACCTGCCACCATTGGTGAAGTCAACCAGACACCAAGTGATCCACAAGAACACGAAGGCTTTGGTTTTCTTGCCGTCTACAAACTGCGGTTGGTATTATTATCTCGCCTACTACCAGTTTGTGGAGGGAGGCGACGCGATGGTGACCTGCGCCAAATGTTTGGTGTCTGCGCAGCGCAAGGAGGTGAACGTAGCAGACACCATTTAGCTGCTGCAGCAGTACAGGAGCCATCCATTCATTCTGATGGCATTCAAGCTGCCAACTTCGAAGCTGATGCAAGGATGGCAGATTTTCCGGCCACCGAAACAAAAAGGCGAGCTGTGGGGTGGGCTGGATGGAACTTCAGTCAAAGCCTCAGCGGTGGTCTTTTCTGATAAAGTTTTCTTCACAATCTTTGTAGCCTTGGCCACCTCACGCTGAATTATATTTCCAACATATAAAGTAGTATCGACATATCCAAGATTAAGACTAGTTTGTATGTGGGCAACACTCCTGCAACAAGGATCCCTTTAAAAGAACAGGAATCCTTTGCAATAAGTACGGGATGGGTGCAAACCGTTGAAAAAAGAACCTTTCAAATATGTATAGCAACCACCTTGAAAGAATGCAGTAAGCAAGTATCCGTGGTTCCATGCAATAATCCTTCGAGTTTACCTGAGAAAGTACATCATAATTATAATTCAATAGCATAAAGGCTTTAGGCACTATATAATCCAGTCACTCACTCGTTCATGCACCCATTCATTCATTCGTTCGTTCCTTCGTTCGTTTGTTCGTTCGTTCGTTCGTTCGTTCCTTCGTTCATCCGTTCATTCATGCATTCCTTCCTTCGTTCGTTCATACATCAATGCATGCATGCATGCATGCATTCATTCATTCAGTCAATCAATCCATCAATCCTTCCTTCACCACTTAGTCATGTTTTTTCTCATTCCTTATTCATTCAATCTATCAATCAATCAATCATTCCTTCACCACTTAGTCATGTTTTTTCTCATTCGCTGAATCATTCGTGCGCTGGTTCTTTCCTGTTATTGATTGCAATCATTTCGTGAAAATCCCAACAATCGTTTGGTTCAGTCGTTGACGCGCCTCACAACCTCAAACTTTCATTGTTTGTGCACCTCACAGAAATTCCTATACACCATAGATTTCCGATAATCATTGCCCTTTTTCGAAATTTCCGCCTTGGCACGGCCGGGCACCGCTGGTATTTGAAGCATACCTGAACCATGTTTCATGTGGCTGAATTGCAACAACTCCTTTGAGAAAGTGGAATTTTGGCGGCTTGGGTGCTTCAGCACCAAGGCACAGATCTACGGGTTTTCCCTGACACGAACAATTGGTCTTTGCAGGCGTTGGCAAAAACTAACCTATCACTTATTATCAGAATCACTAGTATATTTATACACTTTATAGGTATATATAGATATTGAGATAAACACATAGGGATAAATATAAACACAAATTTAAATGTAAACATACAGCTGCATCGATGTACAGTAACCGTACAGAAAAATCACCTTGCTAGAATTTTAAAGGTCAAATTGCAGTTTCGCTGTTGTGGAGGCAGCTTATCTTGCTTGGAATGTGGCCAACGAAAATGAAGTCTTTGGGCCACCAACGAACCGTGGTGCTCCTTGGATCAGATTATGGCCGGATGACTTTGCTTCCTCTGATTCTAGTTGACATCAACACCCGAACCAGAGATGGAATGATGTCGTCAAAGTTGGGTCCCTCCCAATCAAAGTTTTTGGGTGGTTCACTGAGGCAATTTTCCAAGTTTCTGCCTTTGGTGCCTTGGCAGGCAGAGACTTTGTCAATGAGACTTTGTACCAAAGCAGACTCAGCAGCTTAAACCGATCCAATAGCACATGTGTGGCAAATTGGAACAAATGAAAGAGCTACCCGGCGCTGTCTGCTGATACAAGGCACCATAGATTCACAGCAGGTATGGAAACAACTCTGCATAGCTTTTCAAGTATTTGCCCAAAAAGAAACAGGACTTTCTCAAAAAAAAAGGAACACCCTAAATCCAGAAGTTTATTATCATCTTCCCCATGAACATTCCTATTTTGGATATACCCCATTTTCAGACACACCCAAATGCCAACGGAACTCCAGCTCCAGATTGCACGAATATGAGATGATGGAAGCTGCTTCTTGATTTCTGCCGAATCTCTGAGAGTGGCAATTCTTGAAGTTGACTCTTGATCAATAGCATATCCATTTCTATGACTAATTGGGAACAGAACAATCATAACAAATAAGAGCCTGTACGCTCTGCACGCCGGTGTTTCGAAGGTGTTTGAGTCTCTGAGGTCAGGATCATGTCTTGAAGACCAATGAACCGAACTACAGGCGAATTGATGCCAGCTGCTGCCAGCTGCTGCCAGCTTCGAACTGTCCATTACTTTCTGAAGCAGACGTCTTCCGCATGTCTCCCATTCTGCGGTGAAAGGCCTAAGCCATCTGCGAGTGGCCACCGCTATGCCAGCGCAGCATTGGCCTCCAAGTGCCCGTTTGACATTTCAGTTGGATGTCTCTGGGTTTTCAAAGGACTCCTAGACTTCTAGATGCCTTGTGAATTCTAGTGATCTCGTGTGTATCCAGCTTGCTATTTTTTTTTGTTTGTGCGTTGGGTGCTCTCAGACATCTCAGTAGAGGTACACTGGTCGAGCTGTTGTCCGCACAGAGGATGATCTGTACTTGCCTTTCTATCCCTTTTTTTTCTTGTTTGAGAGAAATTGGCTTGGCTCTATTTGCCTAGCTTGCCTAGTTTGCCTTGTACTCGGATCCCAAAGCAGGCAAGATTCAGCTACTGAGGCTCTACCTGCGCTCTTTGCCCACATTTGAGGTGCTTCCTTTAAGTTTGTACGCGCGTGCATGGGATGGAATCGATCGGTATCGGTATCAGTGCAGGTTGGCACTTCTCTTTGCCCCGCCAGGATCGTTTGAGACCCTCTGATGCAGAGGCATTGCTTTCCTTCCTGACAGTCTGTGTCCCAGAGATGTCAAGACACCCAATCTTTGAAACCCCGCACTACAAGATATTACTGCCAACGTACTACCTGCGGTTTCTGATCTTTGTGCTGATTGATATGCCTTGTAGGTACCATATATTCGAATGTTCAGAACTCAGGCTCCAGGCTCTGAGATATTCTGAGAAAAAGATGACTGTTCTAAACAGGGCCAGAGTGGAGAGCAAGTGCTGTTGTAATGGTTATTAACGAGAAACTGATTTTTGTTGCTATTCAAATGCGATGATTGCAATGTAAAGCAAGGCCCTTGATGTTGTCCTTTTTCACATCGGCAGATCGTGCGGTGTCCTCGGATCAGCTCGTGTTGCTGCTTTTGCTTGTGTCAAGATGTCACAAGATGTCACAAGATGTGCCAAGCTTGTTAGAAACACTGATCATCCTTAGCAGGTAAACTGCTTGTTCAGTGACACGTTGCTAGCTTAGCTGAGTCAAGCAATGTGCAGTGCACAAGCTTTGTGTATCAATGCAGCATTGCTCTCCAGTTTCTGTTTTCATGCTCCTTCGTCAGTACAACATTTGTTACACATCTTAGTCAGCAAGAACGTCAGCAAGAACTTGTGACAGTGAAGCGCGCTGCTGAGGCTGCGTTCCATTTTGCATGCAGTAGTGCTGGAGCCAGGGAAGTTCCTCATGCCTGGTCGTTGGCATGAGTCGTTGAGCCCAGTGTGTTCCACACTTTGATTTTGGATGACTTTTGGACATTATTGGAAAAAATGGACAACTTTGGACAAGTGGACTGTTGACATTTGTCGACTCCGGCTTCGCGCGCTTCGCACGGCCAAGTTGCCCACAAATGGTTCCAGCTGCCAGTGCAGCAGAGGCCAGCTGAAAGGAAAACAAGGAATGTCCGGAGGAGTGTCCAGAGACCTTTATATACATTGCTGTGTCACCAAAGCTAGAAGGTGATGACTTAGTGATGGCGAAGGCTACAGTAATAAAAACGTCCCCAACATTCCCTCTACTGCTACGCTTGAATGGACGCAAGTCGCCAAATTGGTTCTTGGTATGTTTGTTCACCAGCTCAAACTGAAGTCTCTGTAGAATGAACCCTGGAAAAGCGCACACGACAATCATTTGCAACACACACACACAGACACCTAGCAAATATTCCAATTCTATGTCCGCAGGCACGACAAGTGTCTTTCATATTGTAAATGAGATGTATGATATTGTGATATGAAACATGTTTTGATATGGGTTGCGGATGTTTTGATTCTGCTCTAAACTACTTATAAGGAATTTTCGCTTCTCAAGGACAGACGCATTTTATAGTAATAGTAATTGGGCATTGATGTATTTTGCATCTCATTAGAAGGTTCAGTCCTGTATATATGCAGTGAAATTGTTTCCCTGCACCTAGGCTCTAGGTTTGTGTTAGACTGGTGCTAGATACTTTCACATAGCCGTTAACGTGAAACATTGTCAGGCCCGATGCTTTCTCTGCCTCATGCTCCTTTGCAACTGCTGTTCCCGGTCCTGCTTGGGCAGCTCCACAGCCTTACCTTTCGTAAATCTCTTGGAACTGCATTGCAGCTTATTTTTGGTCAGCGTCACAAACGTGACTCGTGAAGATATTGGTCAGCTTGCTATACTTGAAAACCCAAGAGCACTATTTACTCCAGATATAATAACTTGACAGACAGCCGGTAGCGGCAACTGGGATATGGGCATGGAGTCTGCTTTGTTCTACCAAACCGAGGAACCATGCAGTATATGATAGTGATTCCACTAGCTCCAGCAACTCCAGCTAAACAAGCCGCGCGCTGGCCATGTTTGCGAGGTTTTGATCCAAGTTGATCATGTACAACTTTCTTCGCTCATGTTTGATGTGCGTTGGAGCAGTTGAATTTTAAAGGCAAAGTCCTGTAAATACGCAGTGAAGGTGATTTGCGTCCGAATCCGGGAGAAAGAGCTTGGAGAGAACCTAACATGTCTTGCGTAGTGTCAGTGTAATGTATGTACATCATGGTCCGGTGTGCGCTAATGTTTGGCAAGGTAAGCAGACACGTAGAGATCAGGGCCAAGCACCAGTGCAAACTTTGTTGCTGTACTTGGTATGAAAGAAAGAGATGTCCTGGTTGGTCATTTTGTCCATTCGCTTGACCCATTCTTGCCCACACTTGGTCAGCTTTCTGCTGGTTCCCCTCACAATTATTCGAGTCGCTTCGCGACGAGAACCGCCCGTGCCCAGAGAATTGGATAGAGAGGAAAAGAGCGGGCGTACTTGGCCAAAGACAGGAGCCCACTTCAACTTGGGCCTAACTTGCGCCCAACTGGAAGTTGGGCCCAAGACAGGCCCAATGTGGGCAACATGGCCATGCACCATCAAAGCCAAAAAAGGTTGGAACTAGCTGTAAAAATGCAAGTTTTCAGCGGGTTGGGCAACTTGGGCCCAACTTGTGCTATCTTGAACCCAACTGGAGCCCAAGTTGGCGCTGCTTGGTCATGTTGGGCTGAAGCTGGCCCAGAGCGGTCATGGACGTCCAGGTCATGTGCAACATTGCGCAACTTGGGACACTTTGGCGACAGCTTCGCACCAAGTTGGGCACAACGGAGACACAACATGGGGAACATAGCTTCAAGCGAAGCGTCATCAATAGCCAAAAAATTGGAAGATAACAGTGAAAACGGGCGTTTTGAGGATTTTGGATTGGACCGGCTATGTCCTCCATGTTGGAGCCATATGGACCTCATCTTCGCCATGTTGGAGCCAAGTTGGGCCGAAGTTGGAGCCAAGTGGGTCCAAGAATGGTCCAAGTTGGGCTGCATTTGGGCCTTGCTGGCCGGTCTTGACCCCAAGTCGGGCCAATGTTGCGGCCATGTCGGATCGGGACGGTGCATTTGGCCGATGTTGGGCCGATCTGAAAATGTGCAAATTAAGGGGCTACGCCCCCTGCCGCCGACCCCTGGGAGAGAGGGGGAGTTGACACATACGTCACTTCCGGAACCTACAAGAAAACTATATGGGTACGAGTCAAAATACAAGGTATGGATCAAGGCGCCAAAGCTACACACGATCCATACCCCCCGATCCATACTTTGATCCATACCCTTGATCCATACCCCAGATCCATACCCCTTTCTCGTTGAAGAAAGACTGATGCTGGCCTTAACGATGCTTTTTATCCTAATATATACTGCTTCTGGTCGTCGTACTGCTACTCCCATCGCTACTACCGTTGCTTCTACTGCTGCCTCCACTGCCTCCACTGCCTCCGCTGCTGCTGCCGCCGCCACTACTAGTGATTATCCTCCCAGGAGCTGCTGCTACTGCTCCTGCTGGTCGTGCTCTCGCTGCTGGTGCTGGCTCACGTTCTCCGTGTGCTTCGGTTGTTGGACAAATGTAACTAGTTGACTAGCTACTCGCAATATTGCAAGTGCACCTTGGAGGCTTGTAAGACCGGTTCTACTTCCACTAGGTGCTTATTGTACTTCTAGTGGTGCTATGACTACAAGTCCTTCTGTTTCTACTTTGCCTGGCAGGTGTAGAACTAAAAAAGCATGGTGTCCTGATCCATACCCCGATCCAGACCCGTTCCATGCCTGGTCCATATCCGAACCCAGTCACGCCACAACAAGTGCCAATATGAAAGTCCGAATCTGTTACTACTTCTGCTGCTGCTTCTTGCGCTACTTGTGCTTCTACTTCTACTTCTGCTTGTACTTCTACTTCTACTTTTGCTGCTACTACTACTACTACTGCTGCTGCTGCTGCTGCTGCTATGCTACTATTACTACTACTCCATTAGATTATTTTACTGTTATTACTTTGACTCTTACTAGTACTACTGTTACTGCTACTGCTATTTCTACTGCTACTGCAGCTCCTCCTTGTATTGCCGCTACTGCTGCTGGTGTTGTTTTTTTTTACTGCTCCCTCTACTAGCAGTGGCAACAGTTTTAGCAGCAACAGTAGCAGGAGGAGAAGTAATAGCAGGTAGGAGAGAGTAGGAGTATCAGCACCGTTTGTATGCTATGATGAGCGCTTACGAAAGGGTACGGAGCAGGTACCTTACGTAACCACTCCCGATCCATAGTTCGGATCACCGCGGAGCAATCCATACCCGATTATTGACTCGCACCCATATAGCTGTCTAGCTGTCTTCCAGCCGCCCAGCCCAGAAACGGCTCCTCCGCCACACCGAAACAGCAGGGCTCTGAGGCCTCTTCTGCTATAGCTACAAGGTATTGGTTTAGGGCGGGACCTGCTGCTCCGACATCTTCGCAGGGAACCGATCAATTGGCAGGACTTGCTGGCCAAATATTGTGAAGAACGCGCGTGTTCAACTTGCGCAGAGCGCAAGCCATCTACAGCTTTCACCGCTGGCCAGTGGAAGCGCGACGACAAAGATCGCGTTTGTCGCGAATGCACAAAGCATTACGCAGATGCCGGGACGCCATGGCAATGCAACGTGTGCAAGCTGTGGGATGTCGAGACCAATTTTCCGGAAAAGCACCGCCAACGGCAATGTAGTTTTTTCCGTGTGTGTTTGACATGTGAAATGAAGAAACCGTGTTTCAAATGTGGCGTTGCAAAACCGGAAGCCGAATTTGGACCGGCCGCATGGAAAGCTCGCAACGCGGACCGCCGCTGCTGCAGAGAATGTACCACCAAACAGTGGGGGTGTTGGCAATGTTCCCAGTGCAGCGAACGCAAGCCACGAGCAGAGTTCACAGCTTGGCAGCAAAGTCGGAAACATACGCAGGATGGTACACAAGTATGCAATGCATGCACAGCCTTTGCCTTCGTGTGTCCTTGCTCATCGCACGAATCAACGCTTGGCCCGCTTGCGCCAACGCGAATCCCGTCAACGA